AGTCACCTGTGGGTGCTTTGCGTTACCGAGTTTGCTGTTGTGATGATGGCGCATGTAAGCCGTCGGCCCTCCCGTTTACCCAGCGTTACCCAGCCCTTGGCCGCTGGGCCGCCATTTTGCATTACTTAGCCCGATCGATGCGACCGGGGATTAAGGCAGCCCGCCCGATTAGCCCGTGGCTGTTCACTGTTCCGTCGTGGGACCCACCTGCGGCCCACCTTCGGCTTCGGGCCACCTTCGGGCCACCTTCGGGCCACCTTGGGGCCACCTGCGGGCCACCTGCGGGCCACCTTGGGGCCACCTGCGGGCCACCTGCGGGCCACCTTCGGACCACCTGCGGGCCACCTGCGGGCCACCTTCGGGCCACCTTCGGGCCACCTTCCGGCCACCTTCGGACCACCTGCGGGCCAACTTCGGACCACCTGCGGGCCACCTTCGTGCCACCTTCGGGCCACCTTCGGGCAACCTTCGGGCCACCTTCGGGCCACCTGCGGGCCACCTGCGGGCCACCTGCCGGCCAGGTGGGCCCACCAGGCACAACGGACCGTGCTGTACTCGGTTTTATGTCGGCTTTTATACAGACGAGCGCAGCTGTGAAAACACGCCAAGGGAGATGGCTGGGGCGGGGAGGGGGAAGGGGATTGCAAGGACGCGTGTGCTTTAGTGTTTCGTCCTTTGTTTGGAGGGCCGGCGCGTCCTCCGATATTGAGCCGGCCGCTGTATTTTCTATCGCCGTCTCTCTCGCGCGCCATTGTCTCCGGTTGTGCAATATTCCTTCGCGGCCCGCGGCCTCGGCTACCCGACGAATACCCGAGAAAAGCACGGAGAGAGAGAGAGAGAGAGAGAGAAGGGGGAGGAGAGAAGTAGCCACGTGACTTTAATTAAGGCCGCCATCCACCTGTCGTCCCGCCTTGGGCATTACCGGCCGATGGACATGTTGACAGCGCGGAGCCCCGCAGTGCGCGGCCGACCGGAAAGGGGGAGGGGGTGGCAGGAGAAAGGGGGGAGGGGGTAGGACAGGACCGCCCGCTCTCGCCTCGCGAGTTGGCCACGCGCGGCGGCAGCTTGAGAGGGGCCCGAGTGCCCCGTTATGGCTTCGCCTTCTTCCTCTCTTTCCTTTTTGGCCGTCCGCGATATTCACACACCAGCACCGCCATGATCTTGGCGACCTCCTCCACCTCCTGCTCGCCCTCTGGGGAGCGCGCCGCGAGACAGCGCCGCGCGGTGCCGAGCAGCGAGGCGGACATCCCTTTTGTGAGGTCGCTCTCTCTCTCTCTCTCTCTCTCTCTCTCTCCTCTCTCTCTCTCTCTCTCTCTCTCTCTCTCTCTCTCTCTCTCTCTCTCTCGCTCTCTCGCTCTCTCCCCCCTCTTTCTCGCTCTGTCCGGAAACGAACGGCAGTGCGGCGCGTGGCGCTGCTGCAAGCCTCAGTGTCGCTTTCCCTTCCCAGCGGGGACCGCAGGGGGTTAGGCCGGAAGGGGGGGGGGGGGGGGGGGGTGACCCAGTCGCCCGCGCGAATAAGCAGCAGTCGGGCCGGTGTGACGCCACTTGTGCCTTTGCCTGCTTCGCCAGGTTCGCCGCAGAGGAAGCGCGTGGGCGGAGCACGGCGAGGGGCTTTGAGGCGGCCGCGCGGTGGCTTTCGGCTTTCGGCTCTCGGTGCGCAAACACTGAGCATAAAAGAGCCCTTCTGCGTCACCACGGGGCAATTAAAGCCGGCCCCCTTCCCCGCGTTCTCTTCCCGAAGTACACGTTCAAAAATAAAACACGCTGCCTCATTTGGTCACGTCTCTTTTTTTGTGGCGAAAAGTTTCCCTGATTGACTTTTAAGCGATGAAGTAGGGGTAGGAAAAGAAAAACTTGAGGGTTAATTTATCCGTCTAACTCGTGATGAATTTACGGTGTAGTTTTACAGTGGTCGTCTCCTGCACGGGGACAAAAGAGGTCGTCGGCCGTCATGGAGGCGGGCTGAAGCTGGAGTCGGAGGCCTGCGAAAATACAAACAGGCGGCCAGAGGAGCGTCGCGCTCCAGCCGCTGGACCCCAGACTCCATGAGCTTATTTTGGGGCTGGGACGGCGGCGCGTATGTGTCCTCGGGGGGTGACAACGCATTACGCAGGGCCAGCGCGCGAATCTGCTGGTGGCCCCACCCCCTGCTGGAGTCTGCTGGAGTCTGCCGGAGCGGCCCCATGAAGCGGAAAAGTGTTGTCCGGGTCGAGGAGGAATGCAAAGCGCGCCCCCCACCACCCCCAGGCACAGCAACAGTGCCTCGTCCTATGGACGAGGTCCTGGACGAGGTCCTGGACGAGGTCCTGGACGAGGTCCTGGACGAGGTCCTGGACGAGGTCCTGGACGAGGTCCTGGACGAGGTCCTGGACGAGGTCCTGGACGAGGTCCTGGACGAGGTCCTGGACGAGGTCCTGGACGAGGTCCTGGACGAGGTCCTGGACGAGGTCCTGGACGAGGTCTTGGACGAGGTCCTGCAAGAGGTCCTGGACGAGGTCCTGAGAGGTCCTGGACGAGGTCCTGGACGAGGTCCTGGACGAGGTCCTGGACGAGGTCCTGGACGAGGTCCTGGACGAGGTCCTGGACGAGGTCCTGGACGAGGTCCTCGACGGAGGTTCTGTACGAGGTCCTGGACGAGGTCCTGGACGAGGTCCTGGACGAGGTCCTGGAGGAGGTCCTGGGCGAGGTCCTGGACGAGGTCCTGGACGAGGTCCTGGACGAGGTTCTGGACGAGGTTCTGGACGAGGTCCTGGACGAGGTCCTGGACGAGGTCCTGGACGAGTTCCTGGACGAGGGCCTGGACAAGGTCCTGGGTGAGGTCCTCGACGAAGTTCTGGACGAGATCCTGGACGAGGGCCTGGACAAGGTCCTGGGTGAGGTCCTCGACGAGGTTCTGTACGAGGTCCTGGACGAGGTCCTGACTGAGCGATGCAGAGTCTGCATTGCAGACCCAGCGTGGCGTGACTTACTGCTGCTCGTCACCGCGTCGCCGCACCGCGTCGCACCACACCAGCCCCAACCTTGCCAAATCCCTGCGAGCTCGCCCGCAAAGGAAAGGAGAAAAAAAGTGGAGCAGCAACCGCGCTGCCGCTTGTCGTGGTGCGACGCGTCTCAATATTTCACCCTCAGCCTGACACGCTGCCCCGCCCCACGCCTGGCGCGTGGAGTGGAACGAGTGGAGCGCGTCCAGCGAGAGCAAACCCCCCTTTTTTTTGTCATCCTGGTTGGCTTATACACACTGTCCAGTGCTTTTTTTATTGCTGTTTATTTTTCGGTCGTCGTGTGGCCCGGCCTGACCTGACCCGCTGCGCGCGCAAAGCCGTGTTTTCGAGTGTACTGTACTCCGCACTCGGAGGTGTGGGCGACGCGGGCGCCACGTCGCTGCCGGCTGCTGGCTTCGCCGCCCGCAGCGCGCAGCGCAGCGCGCCCCCGGTAATCTAGCGGTACACGCTCTGTGGCGAAGAGGCGGGGGGTGGGGGAGCCAGGCTGGAGCCAGGAGTGCCAACCTGCCCCCAAGCTGGCCCCCTCGGTCTCGCCTTTCTCCGCGGGGAGGCCCACTGTGCTGTACCGAGGGTGAGGGGCTCCGCGTTTGTAATCCAGCGGCTCCAGCGAGTGGCGGCGACCCCAGAAAGGGCCCCAGAAAGGGCCGCCATGTTTTTGCAGAGCTCTCCTTAATTCCATGCACGACCACAAACTAGCCCCAGCGCTGGGACCTCTCGTATACACATCGGCACACACATACACACACACATACACACGCACACACATACACACACACACACACATACACATTCATACATACACACACATACACGTACATACATACACATACATACATACATACATACATACATACATACATACATACATACATACATACATACATACATACATACATACATACACACATACATACACACACATACACACACCCACGCGCGCGCACGTACCCGATGCGAGGGCGGAGAACCGGTGGGCAATCAGAAGGGCGCATCCCTCCGGGAGCCGTCCGGAGCGAGAAGGGAAGTCTAAAGAACACACAATCGTGACGAGAGTACGAGTGCGACGGGTGCCCGCCTCGGTGCCCGCAGTCGGTACCCAGGCAGGGCACACAAAGGCGGCTCCCCCACCCCCACCCAACAACCCCGCGTGGGCGAGTGATTAAATCGCCCCATTATTGTTGCAAAACAGCAACGTTCCCAGCGGGCTGTCTTCATCTCGCAGCGTCGCTTACCCCAAAACGAAACAAAAAACACGAAAAACAGAGATAAAAAAAATCTTCTTGCACGCTGGCGCCACCATCTAAAACCGCGTTTGTCGTGGCTGTCAAAATCGCGCTATCTCCTTCTCTCTCTTTCCTCGCTCATAATTCAGCAGCTACCGCCCAGCGCGAGCCCAGCTTATCCATCCTGCTGCCCCGAAAACTAGAGCTCGTCGCCGTGGCCTTCGCGCCCTGCCCGCCGCCCTGCCCGCCGCCCTGCGTCCCCAGGGCCTCGGCGGGGTTGGTGACCGCCAGCGACCCCTGCGGCTGCGTGGTGCAGGGCGGCGGGCAGGGCGGCGGGCAGGGCGGCAGCGAGGGCAGGGCGCGGAGGCCAACCTGCAGTCCCTTCCCCGCAGTGCCGGGGCACCTCGCCGCACCTCGCGCTATTCTCTATTGATTCGCCTCAGGGAGATTCTTCACCTTCCGCATTCACCGCCAAAGCGCGTCAAAGCGCGTCAGAGCGCGCCAAAGGAGTTCAAAGCACGCCAAAGGAGTTCAAAGGGCGTCAAAGCCGCCCCCTGACGCGCCCGCGGTGGCTGCCGAGCTTCCTGGCGCGCCACACTGGAAAAGGCCGCCGCCGCCTCCACCAGGGCCCCTGCGAAAAGGAGGCTGGACTCTCCCGCGGCGCGGCCGCGCTCGACGGGCTTGCCTACCCGGAGCTCCGCAGGGGCTCTCGCCTGCTCCACGGCCACGGCCTCACGACGGAAACACGACTAACTCTTCGCTCTTTTGTCCGCAGGCATGAGGAACGCCGGCAGCGCCAGCCTGGTGATGCTGCCCCTCGTGGTGGTGCTGGCCGTGTGCACGGCGCCCGCCGCGGCCTGGGGCGGCGTCTTCAACCGCTTCAGCCCCGAGATGCTGTCCAACCTCGGCTACGGCGGCCACGGGGGCTTCGGCAACACCCACCGCACCGCGCCCTTCTTACAGGTAAGCTTGCCGACGGACCCGGCTTCGAATCCCACCGACTCCGTCATTTTTTTGTTGTTTACGGGTTACTTGTTTATACCCTAAACAAATCGAACGGCACGCACAGGACCTGTGAGACCCACAGCGGTTCGCTCTGCGCTTTCTTTAGGCAGTCATAAATATTCCCGAGGCGTAGGCTGCGAGCACATGTGACTCGTCAGACGACCCCTGCTGTGTGTGTGTGTGTGTGCGTGTGTGTGTGACTCCATCCGTCTTTGACGACGCCCCCGTTTCCGGCTGCTCGGTGTGTGAGGAGGCCCCGGGCGACGCGGCCATGCAAAGCACGCCGAGGGCGCTTCTCGCTGAAGGATACGCCCACGGTGGCCAAATAATGCCAACCCAATCGTCCCACCTCGCCTTCACATTTGATTCGACTTTCTTTGGAGAGGATTTTTCTCTCTTCGCTGTCGATACACCGGTGTGCAGGCCGCCGACGCCTCCGTTGAGAGTGACGGCCACGTCGAGGGGCGAGGGGGCGGAGGGGGGCGGGGGGGGCGGAGGGGGGCGGAGGGGGGCGGAGGGGGGCGGGGGGAGGGGAGGGGGCGGAGGGGGGCGAGCTGCCAGAGCCGTTTGCGGAGGCGACGCGGTGCGGCGCGTCCTCCCCGACCTGTTTGTTTGTCTCTCTCTATTCGCCTGTCCAGGCCCATTAGGACGGGCTTGTTTATCCCACTTTGGCGAGGCGGGGCGGGGCGGGGCGGGGCGGGGCGGCGCCGCAACCCGACAGAAAGCTGACACAAGCCCACGCGCAAACGGAGCAGCGGGTCCGGGGGTTCCGAGGGGGGTTCGCAGCGACTGCCGCAAGCCGCACCCCGCCGCGGCGACGGCTGTAAAACGAATGTCAACGGCGGAACGACGGGTCGGCGGTCCCCCGAACCGGAGCGGCCAAACAGAGCACCCAAACGGGGCGCCAAACGGGGCGCGATTACGGGCGACACGACGCCACTTTGAGGGCAGCCGGTCGCCGCACCCGCGGTCCACGGCCCGGGGATAAAACGGACCAAACGGCCGAAGCGCTGCAAATCGACATAGACCGAAACAAACCGAAAAAAGATGATAAAACTGAAAATTTGGTCTTGATTTTGCGGTGCGTTTCGGTAGGGCTGGACAACATATCAGCCGACCCTCTTCGGTTTCCTCAAAGGCACCATCGTAGCCCATTTGCTCATGACGCTCGATGTCGCAACGCGAACGCGCGGAAGGCGAAACGCAATAAAGAAAACCGTTTTGCGGCAGGAAATATGGAATCAATTCAATCAATTACCTCATCGCGTCTCCTGTCGAAAGGGTGGGCTGTCCCGCTTTCCCCTCCCTCTCCCCGGGCCGGCCGAGGCTAGCCCCTCCGTAAAGTGACTCACGGCCCACTGGACGGCGCCACGGCGCAAGAGCAACGCAACGCCTCGGAACGCCACGGGGGAAATCACCAAGGCGTTACCTTCGCCATCACGACAGCGGCCGGCCGCGCCCGCCAGCCCCCGCCAGCCCCGCCAGCCCCCCCCGCCAGCCCCGCCAGCCCCGCCAGCCCCGCCAGCCCCGCCAGCCCCACCGGCCTGTCCCACACCACGCCATACCACGCCCACCCTGCGCTGCGCTGTGCTGCGCTTCACCCAACCTGAAAATGAAAAGACTGTTGACTCGACGGGCTGTGCAATTTGCATGTCGGCAGCGCGACGACGCTCTGGACTTCCTCGCGCTGAGCGCGTTCGGCCGCAGCCCTACCGCCGGCCGGCTCTGTGTTTGCCTCGCTGAATTAGCCGCGCCGTTTCATTACCCTCGCATTGCCCGCGTTCAGCCTTCGCCCTCGTCTCGGTAGTTCGCACTGCCTGGCACTGCCCCTCCCGGCCCCTCCCCATCTCGTGCAGCGAGAGCGAGCGAGAGCCTCGGCGAGAGCGCGGCTGTTTTGAGCACTGCCAAGCACCCGCTGCGGGGAGCACTGTAAATGTCTTATGGTGAAATACCAACGAAATTCGTCAAAATATCTATAAGGTACGATGAATTCTCAATGATATGTTTTGAAGTCAGCTGCACCACCATAATATATGGAACATTTTCACCATAATATGGTGAATCTTCACTGTACAACATTTAGAGTGAGACCCTGGTTGCCAGGGAATGAAAACAGAATATATCATCATGCTTTTATTGACGGGTCGGATTGAACGGCGATTTGATTAGTGTCCCTTCTTCTTGCCCTTGCTGGTGCTGGCTTCGCCGCCGGAGTGGGGCTGTCCCTCGCGAGGAGGGGAGACGTACCGGGCGGGCTTGCCCTTGAACAGCTTGCCGGTGGTCTTGGTGCCGCTGTCGTCTTCGGTCTTGTGCAGCTCCGAGCCGTGGGGGCCCTTGAGCGTGCCGCGCTTGGTGGGGCTGCCGGGGGCCTTGGAGATGCTCCACTTGCCGGCCCTCTTGGCCAGCTTGTGTGGCGGCGGCTTGTGCTCGCCGGCGACCATCATGGCGGCCTGCACGGAGAACGGGAGGTTACCCCAGGTTCCGATCTGTATACGGTAAAAACGGTTCCTGGTTTTCCCAGGAACTCCCTGGAAATCGCCTATGTCTCTACCATAGGCTTCCTGGGAAAACCAGGTACCGTTTTTACCGTGTAGCCAGCCAACCCTGCTGGCTGTCGCTGCACAGTGGGCCGGACCGGCGCAGGCGGCCAAAACTCTAGGCGCGTCTTGAGCTCCACCGTCACTGAGAATGAAAGAGTAACCACCATCGCCCTTTCATTGGGTAACGCACGCATCGTTGCCCAAATTTGGGTGACGAGCTCGCGGTGACCAAATTTTGGGCAGTCATAAAATCGTCGCCCAAATTTGGGTAACGTCATCGGCGACGCCGTGAGGTCCCCGATGACGCTCTTCCGGGGCCACCACGATGACCCATTGTGGCGTTGAGGCCTCCGGTCATCGTGGTGGCCCCGGATGGACGTCATCGGGACCCTCACGGCGTCGCCGACGGCGTTACCCAAATTTGGGCGACCTAACGCCTGTTACCAAATTTCGGGTGATGAATTTTTCGTCACCAAAATTTGGGCAACGAAGTTGCATCACCCATTAAAAGGGTGATGGTGGTGACCAATTCATTCTCAGTGGTCACTAAACAGGACTTGAATCAATCGTGTGCCCCCACTAATGGATTCCTCGTCCGGAGAGCAATCCATTGGTGGGGTCACACGTTCGGTATGAGTCATATTAAGCGACTCTGGAGTCCAAAACCAGTCCCGGATTTTGACCGCCTTCACCGGTCCCACCGTGAGTCGCTCGTTCAACAAGTACACCGAATTCGTCGGTTCACTACGTAACTAGTCAAGAGGCTCTGGTTGAACCGCACACTTGGTGTACTAAAACAAAAGCATATCGGGTCGCAGTAGCAAGCCCATGGAAGCTGCAGCTTACCGCCAGGCAGATGCACACGAGAGCGATGAAGGTGATGAGCCTAGCCATGGTGAGAAGACTTTGGTACCGACTGCCGCCCTGTCGGCCCTTATAAAGGCCGAGCGAGTGCCGGCCAGTCACGACCGCCGGTGGCGCAAACGACCCAACTGCACGGTGTGCACGACCGGGCACTAAACAAATCCACTGGTAACGACTCACACCTGCCGTGACATCGTCAGAATCACCATCGTTAGCTCAGATTTAATGGGTTTCGTGAAGTCCAAGTCATTATAGTTGGCTGTCCTGTATTGGGAGGTGCGTTGTTCGGGTTTTTTTCCTATTACGACACCAAGTACTAGAAGTTCGTCAAAGCTGATATTTGCGAAAATTTATATTATATTTGATAAATATACATAATTTTTGTTGTCTTTTTCGTGTTTGCGAACCCGACGCACCCGCACGAGTGTGCCAGAGAAAGCGTGCTGCAGTCACGACGGCAGCTTTTGAGTACGTTCCTGTACACGAAAATGCGTCTCTCGCCGCATCCATACGCATGTGCAGCACTCCACCCGGCGTTGCGCCGGGCGTTCCGGGCGTTCCGGGCGTTCCGGGCGTTCCAAGCCAGAGCACTCGGCGTGTGGTGCCTGTATGCGCGCTTGTGTGTGTGTGTGTGCGCGCTTGGATAGGAATTAAGTTGAGGAGTTGTGCGATTCCGAAAGAAGAGGGGGGAGGGTGGGAAGTGGAGGAAGCAGATGACGAGGCACGTCACGTCCTCCAGCGCTCCAGCGCTCCAGCCCTCGTCCGCACAGAGTGCCTTTGCAGCGGCACCCGAGCGCGGAGGCACCTCGAAATAGCGCGGGTTAGGCCGGCGTATATTTAAATTTGCGCAAATTTGCGCGCGCCTCGCGCGGCTTCTCCTTTCTCCAGGCGAGCGAACACTCAGACCGTCGTCTCCTTCCTCGGGCGGGGCGGGGCGGGGCGGGGCAGGGCGGGGCGGGGGGGCGGTTCGGGGCGGGGCGGGGCGGGGCGGTTCGGGGCGGGGCGGGGCGGGGCGGGGCGCCCGGAATGCCTTCATTAGTACGCGGCGCGGGTGGCGGCGGATCGCTTGGCTCGCTTCGCCTGATGCTTTCCGCGCCGACGACTTGGCATACAGAATATCAATCGTGCCTGGAGTGGCGCCGGAGTGGCGCTGGAGCCACGCCGCCACGCCGGCGACCCACTGGAGCGGGGCAAGTAGTGCAAACGCGGCCGGTCCAAGCGAAGTCGGTCGCAATGCAGACGGATGCCGCGTTTGCAGCTCACGGTGCAGCAGGGGAAGGATTCGTCAGACGTACCCTGGCGAGCGATCCTGCGTCTGGAATATGGCGGCGCTCTATGGCGGCGCTCTATGGCGGCGCTCTATGGCGGCGCTCTATGGCGGCGCTCTATGGCGGCGCTCTATGGCAGCGCTCTATGGCGGCGCTCCATGGCGGCGCTCCATGGCGGCGCTGGCGGCACTCTATGGCGGCGCTCTATGGCGGCGCTCTATGGCGGCGCTCTATAGCGGCGCTCTATGGCGGCGCTCTATGGCGGCACTCTATGGCGGCGCTCTATGGCGGCGCTCTATGGCGGCGCTCTATGGCGGCGCTCTATGGCGGCGCTCTATGGCGGCGCTCTATGGCGGCGCTCTTTGGCGGCGCTCTATGGCGGCGCTCTGCCGCTCTATGGCGCCGCTCTGCCGCTCTATGGCGCCGCTCTCTGGTGGTGCTCCCGGAACCACCCCGCCATCACGGCCGCCCCAGGCCCCATTCTCTGTGCTGGCCAGGATTTAGGGACGGATAAGAGGATGATGTGGGGGAGGACGTCGTTTGGAGGGCGGTGATCCTGGCCTAATCCACCTCGTGTGCGTGCAGCACTCGCCTTGCGCCAGATTAAATTAGCCGAGCTGGCGGAGCAGGCGGAGCAGGCGGCGGGGCGGACACCGGCCGCGGCGTCACGTCAGCCACCTCCAAAGCCTCCGGGCAGCGAGGCCGGGCGGACTGAAAGCTTTTACGGTGTCAGGACGAGGCTTTAGGCTTTCCGACGCGGCGCCAAAGGCGGCCGAAGCCCTGGAGGACGAACGAGGACGACCTAGGACGACGAGGACGTGCTGGGGGCCGTCCGGGACGAGCCCGCTGCGGTCAGGCCGCGGGTCAGGCTGCCAGCCAGCCGCCCGCCCCCGCAGTGCGGTCGCACCGACCCCACTCACCGTGCTCTCAGGTGGCGGGGGCGGCGGGGGGACACCTAATTTGGCGGCCCGGCAGCGACGAGGACAGAGAATACACACTCTCGTGCATAAATTTGACGAAAGGCACTAACTATTCTTGCCGTCCTGGTCCTGGTTCTGGACGCTTCTGGAGAGATCGCCGTGGAAGTGACTTCACGGCATCACAGTCCACAGAGCGGCAGCCGCGTCGCCTCCCCTCCCAGCAGAGCCCCCCGCGGGGCCCTTGGGGCCCATTGGGGCCCAGCCCACCTGCTGCGGCCGATCAGCCGAGCCAGAACCGTGGCCCGCAGTGCAACGCGTTTCCCGCCGCAAGAGGCGTCATCGTGGAGGGTGGGTCCACGTCGGGGAAGTGGCGCCTTCCGGCCAACAAAACCGCCCGTGCAATTTCCACAATGAAAGCCCTGTGCCTCTCGACCAGCGCGGCGAATAGGCAGGCGAAGGCACCCGTGTGAAAAAATTTCATGAAACCTGTCGGAATTGGGCCTGAATGAGGTCTGAACGGTAAGACAGCGACAACCCGTGTAAGTCTGAAACGCCCGCTACCGTCGTTCACGCGTCCTTTCTATCGTCGTCTGAGAACGACGGGACTGAGACGCTCGCACCACGGGGACCACGACTGTAGAGCGACGAGAGAAGGACGTCGGAACGACCATTTCGGACGTCGCTCTAGCGTCTTGCTCCGGTCGTTGTATCGTCTCGCTTCCGTCGTGGTTTTGACGAAATGCGCTACCAGATCGCGACCGCAGAACGACCGAAACACGACGAAAATCAGCTAACGGTGAGCAAAAAAGAGAAAAAATGGAGACCGGGACAGGGCCCGACGGGAAATCGACCCTACAACTTTGATGCTTCGAAACCGGTGATCGAAGCCACCGGGCCAGAGTGACTTCTGCTACATGGCTCCAACTGTCTGAACGTGACTCTGCATCCGGTGGTTTACCGCGGTGGACAACAACTATCTGAGATACCAAGATACGGTGACTGCTTAGTGCCCCACTTTCCTACATTTAAGTTCCATCCCAGAGTCATAGCCTCAATCTCGCTCTGTTCCTACTCTCTGGATGCCAATTGGTCTTAGTGTCTCCAATCGTTGCCAACCGCGGTAAACCACCGGATGCAGAGTCACGTTCAGACAGTTGGAGCCATGTGGCAGAAGTCACTCTGGCCCGGTGGCTTCGATCACCGGTTTCGAAGCATCAAAGTTGTAGGGTCGATTCCCCGTCGGGCCCTGTCCCGGTCTCCAATTTTTCTCTTTTTTGCTCACCGTTAGCTGATTTTCGTCGTGTTTCGGTCGTTCTGCGGTCGCGATCTGGTAGCGCATTTCGTCAAAACCACGACGGAAGCGAGACGATACAACGACCGGAGCAAGACGCTAGAGCGACGTCCGAAATGGTCGTTCCGACGTCCTTCTCTCGTCGCTCTACAGTCGTGGTCCCCGTGGTGCGAGCGTCTCAGTCCCGTCGTTCTCAGACGACGATAGAAAGGACGCGTGAACGACGGTAGCGGGCGTTTCAGACTTACACGGGAAGACCGTTTCCACACGGGATTCCGATGGGATTCAGATAGGATTCAGACTGCGGTCAGATGGATAAGGCACGCCAGAGGCAGCCTGAAAAGGCCCTGAAGAGTGTCTGACTTCCGTCTGAAAACGGCCGTGCAGGCGTCTGAAAAGTGGTCACTTTCCAGGTGCCATTCCGACGGGATTCAGACCGGATTCAGACCGATTCATGAGGGTGCATGAAAATAAGGTAAACAGAGAGGGTCCGCTCGGACCGGAGTCGAACCCCACGCACAGAGCGTAGAAGTCCGACACTCTCACCGCTGGGCCAGAGCGACGAGATATGGAACGGTCGGGCACGCGCAGCTCATAGCGCGCAGCCGGACAGCGCCAGATGCAGCACTGTTGTCTGACGCCTTAGAGAGGTAGTCGTATGCATGCAGTCTGGAATTCATCGACATGTATAAACAAGCGCATTAAAGCACGCCGCGTCAAATATGACGGTGTCAACGAGTCGGAAAATAAAGGGGCAAGTGTCGCATGTGCGACTTACCTGAAGACAACAGTGCTGCATCTGGCGCTGTCCGGCTGCGCGCTATGAGCTGCGCGTGCCCGACCGTTCCATATCTCGTCGCTCTGGCCCAGCGGTGAGAGTGTCGGACTTCTACGCTCTGTGCGTGGGGTTCGACTCCGGTCCGAGCGGACCCTCTCTGTTTACCTTATTTTCATGCACCCTCATGAATCGGTCTGAATCCGGTCTGAATCCCGTCGGAATGGCACCTGGAAAGTGACCACTTTTCAGACGCCTGCACGGCCGTTTTCAGACGGAAGTCAGACACTCTTCAGGGCCTTTTCAGGCTGCCTCTGGCGTGCCTTATCCATCTGACCGCAGTCTGAATCCTATCTGAATCCCATCGGAATCTCGTGTGGAAACGGTCTTGTCGCTGTCTTACCGTTCAGACCTCATTCAGGCCCAATTCCGACAGGTTTCATGAAATTTTTTCACACGGGCAGGCGAAGGCCGCCAACGGCGATGACGTCACGCCGTGGAGAGCAGCCACTCGGTGGCCTGCCCGCCATAGATGCGGTGAAGCCGGTGCACACTCGACGAGCGCGTGCTACCCCCTCCCCTCCCCTCTCTCTTTCTCTCTCCAGAGGGCTGCAGCACTGCATCGGCAGCAGTGACCTTGGCAGCGGCCAGCCCAATGTCACACGGGGCAGAGAGGGGGAGGGGTGTGGTTCCAGGGGCAGCAGACTCGCGGGTCGGCGCTGCGTGGCGATGGTGGCGAGAGAGACGAAGCCACAGCCACTGCAGAGCGCACCGGCTGGAGGGGGCGCCGCGTGGGATGAGGAGCAGAATCAAGTTTGAAGCTAAATTGACATCATCGGGTGGGCGCCCCCCACCGCAGGCACCGCGAGGCGCAGACCGCTCGGCCTGCAGCGACGAGGCCAAATCACAGAATCACACGCAGGTATGCTGTTGGAAAATTCCAGAGAGAGGGGGAGGGAGGGAGGCGGCGCTGGAGAGAAAGGAAAGGGAATGAAAAGAGGGCGAAACTGCTGCAGGAAAGTGCATTGTGTTTCCGCGGGAGCAGGGGGTGAATGAGTAGTGCCCCGGGACGGCGTGCCGTCGGCGGGGCGTTGTGTGCTGTTGGCGGGGCGCAACGGGAACGGGGCGGAAACATGGTGTGACGGAGCGACGGTCTGGGAGACGGCGCAGCGGCGCAGCGGCGGGGCGTAAACTTCGGCAAAGCCCAAGGCAGGGAAAGCCGAGCCATAAAAGCGCATCTCTCGGCCTGGCACCTCGGCGTCAACACGAAGAAAAAAAAAAGGAAGAGTCCCATGAAACTTGCAGTGACAGCGGCGCGGCCGTGTCGAGCCGTTCCTTCCTCGTTTCCTGGGCGCCCAGCACGGGCAGCACTGCAAAACGGCCACCAGAAAGGACGGGTGGGGGAGGGGAGGGGAGGAGCGGGGGGTGCATGAGCGGCTAGAGCTGGAACGCCGCCCGGGGAGTTTGAGAGCAAGTTACTTTGGCCCCGTGAGTGGCTGGCAGGCAAGTTCGTCGCGGCCTCGTGGGCGAGGTTCGCGGCGCGCGGAGGCCCGGGTGCACGGCAAAGACGAAGGGTCTTCATTAATACGGTGACGTCACCGAACCGGAAGCGCGCGCGCCGGAGTTCCGCCCCTTCCGGTAAAACCCTCGCCTCGCATCCCGGCTAGGCTAGAGGGCCCCAGCCCGGCCCGGCCCGGCCTAGAGCCCCGGCCCGCCCGACGGTCGATCAATCCATTGGCAAATTGGTTCGGACTTGGGGCGGAGCGCGCGATGGAGGGGCACCGGGCCCCACGGCCAGTCCACGGCCACGCCGAGGAAACTTGGCCAAGAGGCTGTCGGCTTTGTGGTTCTGAATAACAAATAACAATGCCTTGTGCGAGGCGAGGCGGGGCGAGGCGGGCGCCACTCCGAGCGCGGCACTAATTGCCAGACGACGACGCAGCCTGCCCGCCTGCCTGCCGGCTGCTTGGGGTCGGCGACGGTCTAGGCGACGGCGGGACGGGACGGGGACACCCATTATCCAAATTACAGCGGCCATGCGACGCGATGCGATGCGATGGCGGATCCAGGGTCAGGCGCGCGGGCGGCGGCGCGTCGCACCGGGTTACCGTGGCCGAGCGGGTAGCGACGCCGCACTCGAGATGCAAAGGTCACGGGTTCGAGACCCATCGAGGCCGGCGCTGCATTATTCGGGTGTCTCATGAATACACAGCGTAATGGCAGAGTAAGTGATGCCGCATGAATATGCAGGGGCAGGGGAGGCACCCACTTGTCAAGAACGTCCGAGATTGCCGAGATCGGGGAAAAGGGATCGTTCGATTTAATTTGAATGAGCAAATCCGATGCCGAGGCGGCCGGCCGTGCCCCCGCCCCCGCGCTCCCTCGCAGCCAGACAGCGGAGTCATGACAGCAGCGGTCGCTGGGGCCCCGGCAAAGGCCTCGGGGTGCTGCGGGCGGCTGGGGGCTCCTCGCGCGCTAACTGATGGAACAACAACACGGCACAAACACTGTGCCCGCCGTGCCCGCCCGGTGCTCTCCGGAGGGGCCGCGCCCACCACGGCGACAACTTCGGCGCGCTGGCGGTGGCCCGGGGCGCGGCGGAGCGGGGCGCGGGCGCGGCGGGGCGGGGCGCGGGCGGGGCGGGACGGGGCGGGGCGGGGCGGGGCGGGGCGGGGCGGGGCGGGGCGGGGCGGGGTGGGCGCAGGTACCCCTTTGAAAAGCAGCGCACCCCCCCGGTACCTCCACCACCGCCAGCGTGATTATGAGCGCCTTTGTCTTTGTCTAGCGCCACGGCCCTGTTAGTCCTGGCGGGGTTGGGAGGAGGAGGGATGGGGCATGGCAAGCCGCGGTGTTTCCCTTTCTTTCTCGCTTTATTCGCGTGCCTGTGTGTGTGTGTGTGTGTGTGTGTGTGTGAGTGTGTATGTGTGTGTACGTGTGTGTGAGGCGTCTGTGAGGGTGCGATGGATGTTATGGCGGCCAGGGTACGGCAACCCCGCCCTGCCCCGCCCCGCCGCGCCCCGAGCGCGATACCCATGCACATATTTCACACTCGCGCAAGGCGCCCCGGTCCAGATTGTGCGCTGAGGCGGTCCCCGCTGTTCCCGGCGACGCCGAGGGCGAGGCGCGGTCTGGCGGCGGCACGGCGGCGGCACCGCCAAGCCCTGCCAGCAATTACTTGGGCAAACTGTCCGGTAATGCCGGCGCCGCGATGCTCAGCACGACTTGTCGCACCCAGCCGCTCGGCCCGGTCGGCCTCGAGTGGAGGGGGAGGGGGAGTTGGGGCTCTGATTGGGTGTGCTGCTCCGGTTGCTCCAGGACACGTGCTGTGGGTGCGACCCGCCGCACGCGTGGCGCCACTCCACTGCCAGGCGCACCGCCCTTATCATTTCCCTTTCCCAGTGTACTCGGCTGTGCTGCTGTTGGTTGGTGAGTTGGTGCTGCTGCGCCACACGCGCCAATTTTCGTCTGGCGCACAGTGGGCCAGAAGACCGGTGCGGCCGCGTTTTGAGCTCCAGAGTCGCTCGGGGCTCGGGCCGAACGTGTGACCCCACGAATGGACCCCACGAATGGAATGCTCTCCGAACGAGGAATCCATTGGTGGGGTCACACGTTCGGTTCGAGTCCCATTTAGCGACTCTGGAGCTCAAACCGCGTCTCGAGTTTTGGCCGCCTGCGCCCACTGCAGTGACCGCAGCGCTCTGACGCCAGACGGGTCGGCCAGTGTCCCCAAGCCCGTTGCCATTGCGCAGAGTGTTTTCTCTCTTGCTAATGAGTCGAAATTGCTTTCGTCATCAGCACGCCACCGCCAGACCCCTTCGCCGCTTTCGAGTTCTTTTTTCGTTTTTAGTCCACCTCCACCTCGGCTGGGGCTGGGGCTGGCTGGTCTGGTTCTCGGCGGCGTGGCGCACGGAAGCAGATTCGGGGAACTGATGCCGCGTCGCCGCGTCGCCGCGTCGCCGGGTCGCCGGGTCCCCGTCCGGCCTGAGAACGGCCAGGTGCCGCGGTCGCGGAGAAAGTACCCGCACACTTTTATTTTTTAATTTTTTACAAAACAAACTCGAAAACAATTCAAAAACCGGATACGGAGGTAACTTTAGCGAGGCGTCCCCCTCGCGCGGGGCGGCGCGGAGACCGATCGGTGACCCACTGCGCCGTCGTTGCCGTTGCCTTTCAATGGAACTGCTCGTAATCTGGAGCCGTGATACAGCGAGCAGACGACGGCGGCGGCGACGAGTGAACCGCACATAAGCGAATCCCTCTCCGCTGCGCAGCGGTGCGCGTGTGTGTGTGTGTGCGTGTGTGTGTGTGTGTGTGTGTGCGTGTGTGTGTGTGTGTGCGTGCGTGTGTGTGTGCGTGCGTGTGTGTGCGTGTGCGTGTGTGCGTCTGTGCGTGTGTGTGCGTGTGTGTGTGTGTGCGTCTGTGCGTGTGTGTGCGTGTGTGTGTGTGTGTGTGTGTGCGTGTGTTTGCGTGTGTGCGTGTGTGTGTGCGTGTGTGTGTGTGTGTGTGTGTGTGTGTGTGGTGTGTGTGTGTGTGTGCGCGCGCGTTTGCATGACCGCCTGCGTGCCAATGGCTGTGCTATCCATTCCATCGTCGATGTTGGCCGTGTTTGCCGATGGCTCCGCGCGCTCCGCGCTTTGCTCGGTCGCGCTGAGAGACTTGCCGAGCGCCTCCACTGCAAGGCGTCCTCGCGGCGTGCGGCTGCGCCAGGCTGTGCGAGCAATTCGCCCGGCTGACTGATGGCCGCACAGGGGAAAGGGGGCGGGGGGCGTTGTTAGTCGCCCTTCATGTCGCAGTGTATATCTTCATCAGCTAAACGGGCCGCATTGATCAGGCCGGTCTGTGCGCCATATTCTCGCCACTCTCTCTTTCTTTCCCACTCCTTCAAACCACCACTACTAACTTCCACTTTCACACCGTTGCTCTGTTTCTCTCTTCCTCTCTTCTAACTCTTTTTTCTCTTCTCTTTCTCCAGCAGGAGGTAACACCCGTTCTGACCTTGCTCCTTCCGGGAGCCCACGCCTGGTAACGTTGCCAGAGTAGAGTAGTCGTAGCTCAAGTCAAGTTGTTCCTTAAAAACAAAAAATTAGTCGTGTAGTAGCGCTGCGCTACGCAGCTTTAGGTAGCTGTTTTTCACGGTAGAGCAGTTCAAACCGGGCTGCATCTGAGCGTAGTGCTTGGCAGTAGTTCATTCTATCCGGCAGTGGTATATAATCAAATCGAATAAAAAAGCAATAAATTTATATTAATTTTAATCCGACTTAGTTCGCTTGTGTAGCCAGCCGTGAACTCTCGTCGCTTCCTCTCGCACTCGGTATTGGCGGCCGGAATCGGCGGTGGCCCCGGAAACCGGAAGTCTGCGCGCCGGAAGTGCCGGAGGGCGAGAGAAGGGGGCGCCGGACGCGCTCAACGACCGGAACCGGAACCGGCGCGAACCGGAGCCGCGAGATGCCAGCTTTTCTCTCTGCGGGAATGTGTGGGATCATCTTCCGCGCAGAGTGGCGCAGACGGACAGACAGACAGACAGACAGACAGACGGACAGGCAGACGGACAGACAGACGGACAGACAGACGGACAGACAGACGGACAGACAGACGGACGGACAGACGGACAGACAGACGGACAGACAGACGGATGGACAGACAGACGGACAGAGACAGGCCGCACTCACATCCTCAGAGCCCTTCCCTCTCGGCCTCTCGGCCACTCATGCCTGCCATTGTGTGGCGTTGCCGCGTGACGTCAAAGTGGATCGCTTTCTTTTTATTCCCCTTTCAGTCCGGTTCGCCCCTAAAAAAAAGTTGATAAAAACCCGAAAACAAAGACACGAAACGCGCCAGCAGTTGCCTTTTGTTGTTTTTGTTGCCTGTCTTCTTTTGGCCGCGAGCGTTGACGCTGCAGGCCGCTTGCAGCAGTGTGGGGCGCGGCCGAGGTGGGGCTCGGCGGGCAGGTTGTCGGTCACACGGCGACACGGCGCCACCAGGGAAACCGAGAGGGAAGCCCTGAGCCAGGAGCCAAGGAGGCGGACAGAAGCCGCTCCTAATGCTGCTCAGAACACTTCCCCCGGCTGTGCTCCAACACCGCGCGCCCCACGCCGCCCTGCCCCCCCTCCCCCCCCCCCCGCACTCCACCCCGCCGCCCCAGCCGCCCAGGCTGACACGACTGCCGGCCACTCAATTTACTTCTTTCTCCCTCCTTCCGCGCCTGGCTTTTCTTCCCTTTCATTTTGTCCATCTCTCTCGCTCCCTCGGATCACGGCACCGCAGCTCACTTTCCACCCCCGCCACTCGGTTCCCGACCACCGCGCACAGTGGGCCAGAAGACCGGTGGAGGGAGGCGGACAAAACTCTAGACGCGTTTTGATCACCAGAGTCGCCAAACAGGCCTCGCACGGAAGGTGTGACCCCACCAATGGATTGCTCTCCGAACGAGGAATCCATTGGTGGGGTCACGCGTTCGGATCGAGTCCCATTTAGCGACCCTGGAGGACAAATCGCGTCTAGAGTTTTGTCCGCCTCCACCGGTCTTCTGGCCCACTGTGCCGCGCCGCCCTTGCCGCTCGGCGCTCGGCGCGCTCCCTCCAGTTCGCAGTTCGGTCAACAAATCGGCTCGGCGGCTTGGCCACTACTGCAGCGCCGCGGCCGTCCCGGTCGTGACGCAGGCGGGTCGGCCGCGTCGCTCTGCCTCTGTCCCACCCAAGGGGTTCTCCATGCGGTGCGAGAGAGACAGAGCTACGAACCACTGAATCGCCCGCCAGGCCGCCATGGCATGCACACGCTTTACACGGCGTTCCCACAGCAGATTGGCGATAGCGCGAGCTTTCAACATCCAACGTGTAATTTTTTTTTCCCTCCGAAGTGAACCCCCCCCCCCCCGCCAGTCAGCCGATGACACAACGCATGCTCACGTCTCTTCTGTTATTTTTCCACCGACAGAAAGGCAAATAATACCTGTTGTTGTAAGTAAGGCCGCGTCAGAGCGCCACACACGTGCGGGGAGGCGATTTACACACAGCGAATTTCAGACCAAAACATCAGACTCGGGCGAAAGACAGACGACGTAGACAGATTCAGACAACAGTGCAGACAAGATACAGTCGGATCTCACAGACAGTGTCGAAGACAATGAACAGAGCGATTCAGAAGCCCTCGTAGATAGAACCAAATCCAACTTGCCACCGTTACGAGACCCCAGGGATCGCGACTAGAAAGAGGCACGCCCCTAAGCTCGCCCAAGGAGTGACAGTTAAGTACTGCAATGCGAGGGAGAGCGGCCTTGCCCACCCTCGCCGCGTCAGTGGCCGGCGAGTGAAATGTATTGTATAGCTAACTGGGCCTCACCTGGAATGCTGGCGCCATGCCTTTCAGCAATCACTTGGTAGTTGTACATAGCATTCGCCTTCAGTGGATTTTAGTCCAGCACATGCAACTGGCCACCTAGGAAGAGCAATAAATGCGCATCCGGAGCTCTGAAACTCCTTGCTTTGCAAAACGAAAAGAAAACACAGAGTTTGACAAAAGTTCTGGAGAATAATGTCAAAGGGCGGAAGTTTGAACTGTTTGCGGTTCAGGCGAGCTAGTTGGAGAAAGTAAGAATGAAGGAGGGGAGAGATGAGATGAGAAATGAGAGTTAGAGAAGAGGAGATTTAGAGAGTGGTAAGATGACAGTTAGGATAGATGCTTTCCGCAGCCGCGGTCACGCGACTAAGAAGCGGAGGATGAAGGAAGGGAAAAACGAGCGATTAGGCCGCTTAAGCCGAGAGACTCCCACCGCCCCACCGCCAAATTAATTCGCAAACGGCCACAAAAGAAGGCCGTGCTTTTTGTCTCTGTCGCTTTGCTCGTTCTTTTTACAGGGCGAGCGCGCAGACAGACAGACACAACAGCGCACAGACGACAGACAGACAGACAGACAGACAGACAGACAAGCAGCAACACCACACAGACAGACAGACAGACGACAGACAGACAGGCAAACAGCAGCAGACAGACTACGACAGACAGACAGACAGACAGACAGACAGATAGACAGACAGACAGACAGACAGACAGGCAGGCAGGCACGGCAGCGATAAGTGTATCGTCCAACACGGCGGTGCCGTTTATCCTGACAATGCCGAGCGATTCAGAAGCGCGCCTCGTCGCTCTGTCTCTGTCGCTCCCCGGACGGAGAGCCCCACGAGTGCGACAGAGACAGAGGCACGGCCCACGCCCCTGCAGTGCAGGCCCCGAAGGATGCCTTATCGCCGCGACGTGCCTCCCTGCCTCGCGTTGTCAGCATTTGTCCGAGTCGCAGTGGAGATGCACTGTAGGCGGCGCTGCAGCTGGGCCAGCCTGGAAGCGCCGAATTATGCAGCAGCCTCGTCGCTCCCTCTCCCTCGCACTCACTGCGCGTGCGAGAGAGACAGAGCGAAGAAAAGAGCGCCGAGCGGGAATCGTCGCTCTGCAGCAGCGCGAGTTGCATCCGCTGAGGAATAATCCAGTGGCCGGAAGTGGAGAACCTGTTGCGGTGGCAGGCGAGCTGAGCCATTAGCAAGGGGGGAGAGAGAGGGAGAGAGAGGAGAGAGAGAGAGAGAGAGAGAGAGAGAGAGAGAGAGAGAGAGAGAGAGAGAGAGGGAGAGAGAGAGAGAGAGAGAGGGAGAGAGAGAGAGAGAGGGAGAGGGAGAGAGAAGGGGTGCTTTCGCGGCGCTCCGCGGTCACGGCGCTAAGAAGCGGAGGATGAAGGAAGGGAAAAACACGGCGCATTAGGGTCCATTAAGCCGAGAGACTCCCACCGCCCCACCGCCAAATTAATTACGCAAACGGCCACATAAAAACGAACGCGGCCGTTGCTTTTTGTCTCTGTCGCTTGTTGCTCGTTCTTTTTACGAGTGTGGTCGGTGGCTCTGTGTCCGTCGGCCAGCCAGACCAGCCCCCGCGCTGCTGCAGCGAACGACGCGTCCAATGGCCGTATTTCATACATCCCCTCCCCCTCCCCCCACTCCCACTGCCAGGCCCCGTGTGCGTCCCCCAGCCAGTAGCCAGTCGGGGCGCTTATCTTGACAAACGTCTCCCGGGGCCTTTGTGTGCTGCCTCGGCTGCATGCGGGTCAGATCAGGGCCGGGCTGTGTCGGGGCTGTCGGGGCTGTACCGGGGCTGAGCCGTCGTGTGGGGCTCTCGAGGGGCCGGCGGGCTGGGGCTGGGGTGGGCTGGGGCCCCGCTGGGGGCGCGGCACCACCTCGGCGGGGGCGTTTGCGCCGCGCGGAGTGCAGTTTGTTTGCCCACCGTTTGCCCGGTGTTCCACGGCGTGTTCGTCCAGGTTTTGCAGTGATCGAAACCGAAGCGTACATGTCATCGCGTTGACGCGTTGAAGGCCTCAGCCCCCTCGCATGGCTCTCCATTCCTGGGATCGATCCCCGCTCATGCATTACCCGGCCAGTGTCCGACAGTGTCCGCACAGCACGGCGACGAGCTGGATGCGGCTGCCCCGCCTTGGGCGCCGTGGCCGTGACCTTCCGGACACCCCGCCCCTTGCCTCCCTCCGTTTAATCATCATTTATTTAGCCTTTACATTCTTTGCATGTTTACGGGGCGCTCCCCCGAGTGACGTCAGAACGCCGCTGTCTGCCCGGGGAACGAGCCGACGAGCTGACAGTGCCGTGGTAGTGGCGTAGCGCTCCGAGAGGCCGAGTAAGCCTGGTCGGGCGGGCCGAGTAGCCGAAGGCAAGCAGACAGACAGACAGACAGACAGACGGACAGACGGACGGACGGACGGCCGGACACACAGACAGACAGACAGACAGACAGACAGACAGACAGACGGACAGACGGACAGACAGACAGACAGGTAGACAGACAGACAGACGGGCGGACAGACAGACAGACCGATAGACAGACAGACGGACGGACAGACAGAACAGACAGACAGACAGACAGACAGACAGACAGACAGACAGACAGACAGACAGACAGACGGACAGACAGCTGAGGCCGGTCGGCACGTCGCACTGCGGGAAGGGAAGGGAAGGCTTGGGAAGACTGGAGCCTAGCGCCCAGAAGGTAGGCCGCAGCCCTGTGTTCGTTGCACAGCTGTGCGCCGGGCTGCCTACGCTGCGGTTCGCAGGCGCTCTGCCGAGCGTCGTTTCGTCGCTCTCTGTCGCACTCGTGGGGCTCCTCTCGAGAGAGCGAGAGAGACAGAACGACAAACCGCTCTCTTCCGATTCGGTCGGCTGCGCTGAGCCGCTTCCCGCCGGATAGGACGGGGACTCGGGGTTGTGTCGGGTGACCGAAGGCCGAAGGCTGGAGGCTGTTGGAGTGGAGAGACTCGTGGAGAGATGTGACTACTCGGAGGGCTTTGGCTGAACCATCGAATCAAATCGCTCGCTCTCTTTCTCTCTCACACACTCCATCCCTCCCTCCCCCCCCCCTTCCCCCATGAGTCTCTCCAGGCTGGAGTGGCTCGCTCCTCGCCGGAGGCTGTTGTTCTCCGAGAGTAAAAATAACCAAGGTCATCCTTGCGTCGGGTTCTTCGGTTAGCAAAGCAGACGCCGTCGGGTGATTGTATTTTTGTATTTGCCGTGGGTGTGGTTGTCTCGAAATAAGATGGTGCGCCGAGCGCCAGCGGCCTTGGCGGGGCAAACAAGGATCCCCGAATATAGACAAGAGTGCACAATATTTATTTCTATCAAGGGGGTGCTTCATGCAAACACAGTTCATGTTATTGCGCTGCAGATCGGGAAAGGGCTTACTCTGCCCCTCTGCCCCTCCCCCTCCCTTTCACACACAACACACGGTGCAGCCTTAGACACCTACTTCAGACTTCGAGTTGATGACATAAACCCATGTAGACCAGACCCGTAATATTTCACACCCAAAAGCTCTCCACGAAAGGAAAAAAAAACTCACAGAAATAAAGTGATGGCCCAATCCTCTTAGGACTTGCTTCCATTGCAGACATGGGCCTATTCTCCCGGAGACAGTTTTACTCATTTCTTTGTCAGTCGGTGATAAAGCCGTTTCGCTTCCTCTGCCCGTCCCTTTTTCCCTTTTCCCTCTCTGCGGTCGGCGCTTATTTCGCGCAACTGGTGGCCGGGCCGTGTGGGCAGGCCGAGCCGGGCCGAGCCAGGCAGTGTGGCGGGGTGCGTGCGGCGTGCTGCAGCCTCAACGACCCTCTCCTTGGGCGGGACGGGCAGGGCCGCAGGCCGGGGGAAGGGGGGGATCATATACGGACGGAGAAACTTTGTTGCAAGCGCGCCTGAAGAGAAGAGGCGGCTTTGTACCAACTTATCCAATGCGGGATCCACGAGTCGGGGGGAAAGGACGAGAGCTGGCGACTGGAGGGGCGCGGCCGCACAGTGGGCCAGAAGACCGGTGGTGGAGGCGGACAAAACTCTTGACGCGTTTTGAGCTCCAGAGTCGCTAAATGGGACTCGAACCGAACGTATGACCCCATCAATGGATTCCTCGTTCGGAGAGCAGCCCATTGGTGGGGTCACACGTTCTGTTCGAATCCCATTCAGCGACTCTGGAGCTCAAAACGCGTCTAGAGTTTTGTCCGCCTCCACCGGTCTTCTGGCCCACTGTGGGCCGCCAACACCTCTTCCATGGAGGAAGGCCGAGGCGGCGGCGCGGCCCGGAACGGACGGCGCGCCGCGCGAGGGGCGAGGCAGGCGATGGCGAAGGGCTCCGCGCCGCCCTTCCCTCCGCCGCCCTTGGAGCCCCCGGGCGCCCCCGAGGCCCTGGAGGGGCTGGGAGGGGCTGCAGGCCGGGGTTAAGGGCCCCGAAGGAGCGCCTGAAGGGCCGCTTCAAGCGGATCATCGTCGGCCACGCCAAGGCCGCCTGCTCCGCGGCCTGCTCGCCTCCGTCCCGAGAGGACCGCCACGTCAAGGGGCACGTCGGCGCCCTCCGCGCCACCGGGAGAAAAAGCCGATCCTCGCAGTGTTCGAACCCGTGCCCCGATGCTCTCTGATTTGCGTTGCCCCTTGTGTGTTCGCAGCGCTTCCAGAACCCCACCGACATGTACCAGGAGCTGGCGGAGACGGACCCGGAGCCGTGCTACGGCCGCAAGTGCACCGCCAACGAGCACTGCTGTCCCGGGTCGGTGTGCATCGACATCGAGGGAGGTGAGTCGGCCAACGCAACGCGGAGGACGGGGAGGACGTGCGGCTTCCACACCGCACAGTGGGCCAGAAGACCGGTGGAGGAGGCCAAAATTCGAGACGCGTTTTGAGCTCCAGAGTCGCCAAATGGGACTCGAACCGAACGTGTGACCCCACCAGTGGATTCCTCGTTCGGAGAGCGATCCATTGGTAGGGTCACACGTTCGGTTCGAGTCCTGTTTAGCGACTCTGGAGCTCAAAACGCGTCTCGAATTTTGGCCGCCTCCGCCGGTCTTCTGGCCCACTGTGCGGCGAGGGAAGGGGAAGGCGGAACGTGATTGGTGCGCGCTTCCAACTTAGCGCGCGTGTGCCCTTGGCGCCCTTGGCCACCCTTGGCGGGATGCGAACCCGCGCCCACGCGCCGTGGTCATTGCTCCCTCGGCGCACGTTGCCGCCTCGCAGCCGCAGGCCGCCAGCCGCCGCCAGCACACCGATTCCGAGAGTCGTTTCCGTCGCTCTGTCTCTCTCGCACTCGTGGGGCGTCCCGTACAGGTGTGTGAGAGAGACAGAGCGGCGAAAGCGACTCTCGGAATCAGTCTGCTGACCGCCAGGGTGGATCGGATACGGAGTGGCAAATGGAAACGGAGAGGCGGGGCGGGCGGGGCGGGGCGGGGCGGGGCGGGGCGGGGCGGGGCGGGGCGGGGCGGGGCGGGCAGTACTCTGTTTCCCCCACGGCGTGCGCTGAGCGCAAATGGGCTGCGTCCTGTGCCGGACTCGCCGGACTGGCGGTGGACTTTCCAGTAAATGAAATTTAGCCCGCCGTGCCGTGCCGTGCCGCGCCGCGCCGGCCGAGCTTGGGGGAGGGGCGCACGGAACAGCACGACACGAAACGACACGACACGACGCGGCGACTTTGGGTAACTCGTTTATCGTGCCGCGTGCGGGGCGGGGGGAGGGGGAGAAACAATTTCCTTCGTTGAGACGTAAACGTAAACAAAGGGAGCTCGCTCGCTTCGAACGCGTGTCGAGGACTTGTGAAACAAAAAGCGGTGGATTGGGAAGGTTTGCTTTTTCGCAGGTGCACAGTGGGCCAGAAGACCGGTGGAGGCGGCCAAAATTCGAGACGCGTTTTGAGCTCCAGAGTCACTAAATGGGACTCGAACCGAACGAGACCCCACCAGTGGACTCCTCGTTCTGAGATCAAGCCAAGCCATTGGTGGGGTCACACCGAGGGGTACCTCACTTCGAAAACAGGGTACACTGACTGGTGACTATACTCAATTTCCACTTTGACTAGACTGAAAATATGACGAAATGCGTTGCAAAAATACTAAAATTGGGACAAATTTACGTGGTTTTGCCGACTTTTTCAGTGACTAGACTGAAACAAGGCAGTGACTGGAGTCAGGGGTGTACACTGACTAGACGAAGTGAGGTACCCCTCGGGTCACACGTTCGGTTCGAGCCCTGTAAGCGACTCTGGAGCTCAAAACGCGGTCTAGAATTTTGGCCGCCTCCACCGGTCTTGTGGCCCACTGTGAGATGGTACCCAAACTTGTGGAATGGCTGGGTGAACGTGGCGCAGTGGCGTGACAGTGGCGTGCTTGTTGCAGTGACGGGCTCGTGCGTCTTCGCCTACGGACTGCGCCAGGGCGAGCTCTGCCGCCGCGACAACGACTGCGAGTCCGGCCTGGTGTGCTCCGAGGAGGCCGGCGAGGGCCGCCAGTGCCGACCGCCGTCCAACAGCCGCAAGCAATACAGTAAGTACACAACGCTCCCCGCACGGTGCGAGGCGCGAGGCGCGGTGCCAGTGCGAGGGAGTAGTCCTAGCAGTAGTCCTAGCTGTAGATTCCCTCGGCCCGCCGGCGCCGGCCTTCACTGAGGGAAAAAATCACAGTAAATCCTGTAGTGATAAGTACAGCTGTCACTGTAGTTCAGAGTACAGGATTTACTGTACTTTTTTAACAGGATCTACTGTACTTTGTACGGGATTTACTGTACCACAGGGGTGGAGTACGGAATATCCTGTACCAGGTACAGTGGATACTGTAGCCAGGCACGGTTAATCCTGTGTTCTGCACTACAGTAAATCCCGGCAAAAAAATTAACGGGATTCACTGTGGTTTTTTCGCACAGTGTTTCCTCGCCCTCTTTGTCGGCCCGCTTTGGACAGTCTGGCACGGCCCTGGCCTCGGCGCGGGGCATTCCCTGGTCAAGACGCTCCGCCCGCGCTGCAGTACCCCCATCACAGGCTTGCCTGCGGGGCACAGTGGGCCAGAAGACCCGTGGAGGCGGACAAAACTCTACGCGTTTTGATCTCCAGTGTCACCGAATGGGACTCGAACCGAACGTGTGACCCCACCAATGGATTGCTCTCCGAACGAGGAATCCATTGGTGGGGTCACACGTTCGGTTCGAGTCCCATTTAGCGACTCTGGAGTTCAAAACGCGTCTAGAGCTGAGTCCGCCTCCACCGGTCTTCTGGCCCACTGTGCGGAGCTGCCCGCCCAGCGGTGCCTTTGAGGCGAGGGCTGGTCGGGCAGCACCGGACGCAGGGCTGTGAAAGCGGAAAGAGTTGCAGAGCACCTGGTCGGTCTGGTACGGCATGGCCCCGCGTAGCGTAGGGCGTAGAGCGCACGATGAGGTTCAAGGTCACCCGCACCCGTGAAACGACCGGGCTAGGCCTCGGAGGCATGAATGCATTCGTAGCTTAGTGCCGCACGAGGGCGTGCTAGCTCCACTTTCTTTCTCGATTTTCGAATTTTATTTGGTAAACAGCTTGAGATAAAAATAATCATTGGTTGCTGAGCGAAGCGAAGCACCCTGTTTGGGATTTTGAATAGCTCATTTGTCCGCCCCCCCCCCCCCCCCCGATACCTTTAGTTTACTAGAGGTATCTTCCTCTGTTTATTTTTACTATATTCATATGCGTATACATAGTCGAAGCTCCATAGTCCAAGCTCTATAGTCCAAGCTCTATAGTCCAAGCTCTATAGTCCAAGCTCCATAGTCCAAGCTCCATAGTCCAAGCTCCATAGTCCAAGCTCCATAGTCCAAGCTCCATAGTCCAAGCTCCATAGTCCATATTCTATAGTCCAAGCTCAATAGTCCAAGCTCAATAGTCCAAGCTCCATAGTCGTACGCCAAGCTGCCATTTAGTTTGAGAGTAAAATCTGTCGCGAGTAGGGTATGTTCTTTCGCGAGTAGAGTAAGATCTGTCACGAGCCCGTTAGGTTAGGTTAGGATTGGTTGGACCATTTAGTTTGAGAATAAGATCGGTCGAGAGTAGGGAAAGATCTGTCACGAGTAGAGAAAGATCTGTCACGAGCCCGTTAGGTTAGGTTAGGATTGGTTGGACCATTTAGTTTGAGAATAAGATCGGTCGAGAGTAGGGTAAGATCTGTCACGAGTAGAGTAAGATCTGTCACGTGCCCGTTAGGTTAGGATTGGTTGGAACATTTAGTTTGAGAATAAGATCGGTCGAGAGTAGGGAAAGATCTGTCACGAGTAGAGAAAGATCTGTCACGAGCCCGTTAGGTTAGGTTAGGATTGGTTGCACCATTTAGTTTGAGAATAAGATCTGTCGAGAGTAGGGTAAGATCTGTCACGAGCCCGTTAGGTTAGGTTAGGATTGGTTGCACCATTTAGTTTGAGAATAAGATCTGTCGAGAGTAGGGTAAGATCTGTCACGTGCCCGTTAGGTTAGGTTAGGATTGGTTGGAACATTTAGTTTGAGAATAAGATCGGTCGAGAGTAGAGAAAGATCTGTCACGAGTAGAGAAAGATCTGTCACGAGCCCGTTAGGTTAGGTTAGGATTGGTTGGACCATTTAGTTTGAGAATAAGATCTGTCACGAGTAGAGTAAGATCTGTCACGAGCCCGTTAGGTTAGGTTAGGATTGGTTGGAACATTTAGTTTTAGATTATTAAATAGCCTTCCGTCGATTCAAGGAGAAACCAACCATTGCCGAATCACAATCCTTCGCGCAAAAGCATACTTCCTGGCTATCACCCCCCGAAAAGAAAAGAGGATCATTTTCAAAATAAACACATCCAAATTTACTACTGCTGAAAATGTATTTCCGTCTCCAGCAGAATCCAGCTCAGCATCGAGGCCGAAGGCCTTCCCCTGGCTAGTAATTTGCTGAGCGAAGCGAAGCACCCTGTTTGGGATTTTGAATAGCTCATTTGTCCGACCCCCCCCCCCCCCCGATACCTTTAGTTTACAAGAGGTATCTTCCTCTGTTTATTTTTACTATATTCATATGCGTATACATAGTCGAAGCTCCATAGTCCAAGCTCTAAAGTCCAAGCTCTATAGTCCAATCTCTATAGTCCAAGCTCCATAGTCCAAGCTCCATAGTCTAAGCTCCATAGTCCATATTCTATAGTCCAAGCTCAATAGTCCAAGCTCAATAGTCCAAGCTCAATAGTCCAAGCTCCATAGTCGTACGCCAAGCTGCCATTTAGTTTGAGAATAAGATCTGTCGAGAGTAGGGTAAGATCTGTTACGAGTAGAGTAAGATCTGTCACGTGCCCGTTAGGTTAGGTTAGGATTGGTTGGAACATTTAGTTTGAGAATAAGATCGGTCGAGAGTAAGGAAAGATCTGTCACGAGTAGAGAAAGATCTGTCACGAGCCCGTTAGGTTAGGTTAGGATTGGTTGGACCATTTAGTTTGAGAATAAGATCTGTCGAGAGTAGGGTAAGATCTGTCACGAGTAGAGTAAGATCTGTCACGTGCCCGTTAGGTTAGGATTGGTTGGAACATTTAGTTTGAGAATAAGATCGGTCGAGAGTAGGGAAAGATCTGTCACGAGCCCGTTAGGTTAGGTTAGGATTGGTTGGACCATTTAGTTTGAGAATAAGATCTGTCGAGAGTAGGGTAAGATCTGTCACGGGTAGAGTAAGATCTGTCACGAGCCCGTTAGGTTAGGTTAGGATTGGTTGGAACATTTAGTTTTAGATTATTAAATAGCCTTCCGTCGATTCAAGGAGAAACCAACCATTGCGGAATCACAATCCTTCGCACAAAAGCATACTTCCTGGCTATCACCCCCCCCCCCCCCCCCCCGAAAAGAAAAGAGGCTCGTTTTCAAAATAAACACATCCAAATTTACTACTGATGAAAATGCATTTCCATCTCCAGCAGAATCCAGCTCAGCATCGAGGCCGAAGGCCTTCCCCTGGCTAGTAAAAGCGAAGATAAAAGCACACAAAATGTGAAAAAAAATGTTGCGTTAGCACTCCCTGCCTGTCAGCATGGCGTGAAGGGTGCATCCCCACCTCCGCCTCGCACTGATTAGCGGATTCACCAGAGAGCCTGGCCGGCCGAGGTACTGCGGGCTGTGGCACTAATGGTTGGCTGGGCCGGGCTAGGCCGGGCTAGGCATTGGCTACTAGTCTGCTTGCTGACCACGTGGGAGTGTGGACAGTGGAGGGGGGGGGGCCATCAGCCCACATGTGGAGGGCTGGAGAGCCCTCTCTAGCCCTCGACCACGTGTGGGTGGGGCGGTCAGGCAGTTGGCGTCACGTCGGGGCGAACGCCACGGCCATCAAGCGCGTGGGCCGGGCACTGCACGGTGGGCCAGAAGACCGGTGGAGGCGGACAAAACTCTAGACGCGTTTCGAGCTCCAGAGTCGCTAAATGGGCCTTGACGTGCGACCCCACCAATGGATAGCTCTTCGAACGAGGAATTCATTGGTGGGGTCACACGTTCGATTCGAGGCCCGTTTAGCGAATCTGGAGCTCAAAACGAGTGTAGAGTTTTGGCCGCCTCCGCCGGTCTTCTGGCCCACTGTGCACTGCTAGGCATGCATGGCCTGTGCATGGCGGCCTGCAGGCCCGCAGCCACCAGGCTGCGAGTGGCGGGACTACCGACTGAGCGGCGGCGGCCTCCAGACATGGCGTGGCAGGAGTCGAGCAAAAGCCCTTGCGGAAAAGCAATTTCTCATTTCGACTTTGCTCCCGTCGTTTGAGAGACCGTGGCCTCCCCTTCCACAGACTCCCCCTTGCTTTGGTGGACGTTACACGTCAAGCGCCTCGACAGCTAAAGGGCGCCGCGCCGCGCCGCGCCACGCCACTCCACGCCACGCCTCGCCGCCCCCAGCCTAGCGCGGGGCAGAATTAACTAGGAGCCTTGGCACTCGCAGCACATCTAGAGCATGCTCCAGCCGTGGTTACCTCGACCGCCGCCACAGGGACGGTGTACCGCACCCCCTGAGTCCGGACGTTCGGCTTAGCGCCTGTGAGACAGAGGGTAGGCCAGCCCGCCGGACACAGCCGCTCCAGTGTTGCCTACCCGCCGCTTCACAGGCGCTTCAGCTCGGGAAAGGGTAGCGAGTGTAGTGTAGGCCTAGCTGTCTCTGCGAGGTTCTCGACTGTGTCCGTCCATCCCCTTGTGCCGTGTACTGCTCCACCTTCTCGTGTAAGGGCGTGGGTTCAAACCGCCATTTGGCGTATTGGTGTTGCAGGCGAAGAGTGCATGATGAGCTCGGAGTGCGACATCCACAAGGGACTGTGCTGCCAGTTCCAGAGACGACACCGCCAAGCCCCACGAAAGGTAAAAAAAAATGAAACCAAACAAGTTTTTTGTCGACTTTGGTGCAATGGTACTAAGGCGCTCGGTGTGCCAGGTGTGCTCCTACTTCAAGGACCCCCTGATCTGCATCGGGCCGGTGGCTTCGGACCAGGTCAAGGAGCTCGACATCGAGCACACTGCGGGCGAGAAGCGGTTGACCGGGCACGCCACTGGCGGTGCTGCCGCCTTCAACCACATCCGGCGTTAAGGAGGAGGAGGAAGCAAGAAAGAGAAGAATCATCCCCCCGTACCTCACTCTCTCACTCCTGCTACCCGGACCTTCCCCTTACATCCTCTCCCCTCCCCCTCACAGAGTAGACCACGTGTGTGACAGTAGCAGCAAAAATGAGCCGTTCGATTTCTTTTACGTAGATCTAAGAACGAAAAACCAAGTGCGCAAAGATTTGTTTTTGCTTGCTTTCCTTAAAGCCAATGCATGCCTTGATCCAGGGCAGTAAGTTTAATTGATGTATTATGGCAAGTCATAACCAGTAGAATACCTTGTGCTGCTACTGTTACATTACAAGGAATTTAAAAAAAATTATACAACAGTCTTCTGTAATCCCACATTTATAGGGCAAAAGAGTAAAATTACCATCTCATTATTGGTAGTATGACTCTGATGTAAGACATATCATTGGCACATATCTATCCGATTTAAGAGAGATGATAAGACTTGAGGCGTTAAGTTAATATAAAAAGAAATGAGGCAATTGAATAGATCAATGATGTGGTGTCATCTTGTGCAAAACTGAAAATCTCAGTACGAAACACAGCCATGAGCAATGCTGTACTAAGGCCCTTGTAATTTATCTTGAGTTTAAAATGTGCCCAAAGCCATATTGACAGCACTACATCATTGACTGTGAGAGACGGACTCTGTCGGATATGCACCCTATTGATCAAACATATCATATGTTATAGATTCAAGTAATTGTGAGCAAAACTATTTTGATGTCCCATTATTTTCAATGCAAACATGTGTTTAGATTGAAAACTGAGTAGAGATTTCATAAAATTTATCAAAAAGCAAATGTGAGGAAGTAAAGATCATCATCTTTGAGCCTGAATATAACAAAAGGAGACATCACCAGAAGGCGGTTTCTTTTATACCTGCTGTTTTATTTGGTATGAATGCACTGGTGTTCCTGAACAACATATCATATTTCTTTGCAATGCCTATCTGCTATTCTAAAACCATAGGTGTAATTTCTGTGGGAAACCATGGCAAGGCTTAGTAAACATGCTGATCTTACATAAAACAAACAAACAAATGATTATCATTTTAAAATATATAGATTTTAGGTTCCTCTCACACTGTGAATGTTATAATTTATGGTCGATTTTTCTCTCTTATCTCAAACTATCCTATTGCTTGCCAGATTTTCTTGGCTAAGATTTTTAACTGTATGTGTATAATCAACATATTTTCATGAGTTGTTTTCATAGGTTGTATTGGTAACTCTTTTCTTAAGTGATTGTAAACATATCCTACAGAACTCAATTCGAATGAACATCATCAGACCATAAATAACAACGGCTGGTCATGAATGCTCTCATTAAAAGGAAACTACCATGAAGAGAATATCTGCAAGGATTGGGGAATGACAAGCTGTAATGGTTGGAGTACCTTTGGAAATCATTACTGCTTTACTTTTACTTTCCTTTACTTGTGCACAAATCCTCTGCCTTGCAGCACATGAGATTCAACTTTTATTTTTTAAATACGATTTAGGATTATTGTGGTTTTATGAGACTTGATATTTTTTCTAGCCTAAATTGAATGTGCTGCCTTTAGTCAGGCCTCTTGCCTGGCAAAGGCAGTTCAGATTTGCCATAATTAACTGCATAACACATATCATTTTTTAAAGAAAACTGAAAGACTTCCGATTACATATCATTAACATTTATTGGAAAGTTTTGATGTTTTTATGGGGTGTTTCATGCACAAACTAGGAATGACATTGTATAGATCTATTATATCAGGAAGTACTGTGGTGGTTTGTAAATTAATTATCAGCAACTCAAGAGGTAAATTTGCCGAGCCAATGTTATTTGCTAAAAAAAAAGGTTGGATCAAAATGAAGCAATTAATTTCTTTGAAGAATCTACTAATTGGCTTTGAATCAGTAGTGCTTCCCTCCAATTAAAAAATTGAAAATAAGATTGGCCTAACATTCTTAGATTGACAATGAGTGTGCAAGCAAAATGAGAACAACAGAAATATTTTTTTATGTAATGGTTAAAGCTGCAACACAACTCCACAATAACCTAGCATTGTAAATTATGCAGTATGCTCAGGATAGATTTGTGGGGGCACAAGTATTTGCCTATCGTTTTTCTTTTATGGTTTTCATGTTCAGCTAATAAAAAGACGCCATGCAATTCCTCATGATTTCATCCTTTATTTCACTTTTATCTATTTGCTGTGCTCTGGTTTCAAAGGTACAAAAGAATGAGATACCTCAACATATGGAGGAAGGATGAAGGATGAAGGAAATGCAAGGAAGGTAGATGTGGAAAGAACTCTGGTTTTTCAAGTTCTGTATAGTTTCTTAGATGCTTATTGATAGACATTAAAATGAGCTAGATAAAAGTGGCATCATAATTCCACAGGGTGGATCTAATGAGCCCCAACACTTGGTCCATTCTAAATTATGTGTGCCACAAAACGCTACATGTAGAAAATGCATTCACTGTATTCTGTAAGTAGGCAGTTAAGGTTCTGAAGATAAAGTGTCTATGTAACAATGTGCAAATAAAAATAAAACTTACATGAATCTTCCAGATTTCTTCTTTATTTCCAACTTACTCTTCGGTACAACACGGAACATGAATTGATGAAACCACAGGGGCAGATGCAAAAGAAGTACCCAAGAAATTTACACCTACAGCATCATTATTACATGTAGGAGCTAAGTGTAGTCAGAAAATGCCCATTGAGACACCTCAGTGGGAAGACCCTGATAGTTGTTAACAGCCTCTCTAATTTCATCAGTAACCAGCATAAGGTTAAACATTTGAAACTCTTTCAAAACCTGACTAGAGGAAGATACTGGTTTGATGAACTCCAAAGCCTAGGAGAAGAAAGAAAGTAATAGGATAAAAAAAACACAACATAGAATTAGGCAAAACAGGTTTGAGTTGACTTGATCTGTGCAATCTTTTAACACAAATATTTACCTTAAGGTGTTCAAAACCTTTGAAAACTACTTGTCTATCTACATTCATCGTTTTGGAACTGTGCTGCTCAAACTTTAAGAGACGGTTAAAAACCATTTCAAAATTAAAAGGTGCAAAGTCAAATATTTCATTCTGATGCATCATGGCTATGAGCTGCAGATGGGAGAAATTGATTAATTTCAATATATGAAACGGTAAGGGCAGTTAAAAATAGTACTGCAAACACACAAAGCTTACCAAGCAGAGCTCAAGTACAGAGAGTCCCTCGGCCATTGCTACACGAAGATTTCGATGCAACTGCTTAGAAACTTCTGAGAAATCTGAAGGACATAATTCCAACTTGTTATCATCAAGCCTGGAGATTACAAGTAGCTGCAAAAAGATATCCAAAGAGAGTCAAGGCAATACAACTGAATTAGTGAGAACATTCACTGTCTCACACCACATGACCTTACCAAAAAATTTCTCAAAGTTCGTTCACAATTAGAAGTGTAATACATTTGTTTCAAACAATCTGTAACAGTAGGATTATGACAAAGGCTTTCCACCTCTGCATTCCAATGAGCAACTGTAGCTGCACTAATATTTATTTTGTCCTTTGAAGACAATGAGAGTAAATTAATGCATAACTGAATGCGATTGCGAACACCCTCTTCTAAAGTTTCAAATGCTTGGGGATAAAGATGAATCTGACGATTAGAAAATCGAGACATTACTCTTTTTTCAAGAAGGTCAGTAACATCTTTGCGGCAGGTAATCCCAAGCACACAAATGGGAGCCTGAAACAAAGATTATTTTTTCTAGGAACAGTTGAAAGATTATCCTGTAAGTGTAGGAGATTATAAGGGTTACCTGGGCAGATTGAGCTACATCGAAAAGATTGTATAGTAATGTTTGGTTTTGATGATGGCAAAAGAGATCAAATTCATTAAGAATAAAAATTACAGACTTTGAATGCTCTCGGTCACCCTGACTCAAACATTGAAGAAGAAATGTCAAATTTTCTGTCAAGCAAATAAAACCACAATTAACACAGAATTTGAGACCATTTCATAAGACATAAGCAAAGTTGCTGTACGCTAGATTAATTCAAAATAATTAATTACCAGCAAATGATCCAAAGACCTTGTCCCCGACTGCATTCTCAAGCTGTAATTGTGTGGCAATTCCTTTTAGTGCAAGCCTGTCATCTGTATGTACATAGCCATTCAGCCGAACTATAACAGAATCATCGAAAGCTTCACAATCATCTTGAAGTGATTTGATGGCAGTCTCCACGAGCTGAAACAATATGCACAATATAAAGTGTCTGCTATTTCGGGCTTTCAACTGAAAATTATTCACAGTGTGATTACAAAACGAAACTTACAGTTGATTTGCCACTTCCTCTTGGGCCTATCAAAAGAGCTGAATTACTTTCACCATTTTCTATGGCACGCCGGAAAAGATACAGAACATCAGAAAATTCTTTGGGAGAGCCTCGAAAAGGATTTGAAGCAGGATCCAAGATTTGACTTTTAACTATTTTGCGAATGGATAGTACTTCGTTAGGTTTGATGACATTTGTAGTAGTTTTAGGCTTTTTCGGTGTACGAGACATTATGTTAAATTAACTTATCAGTCTGCTTGCAACAGCTAAAACGTCAATGACAGTAGGTTAGGACAACGGTACGAATATTATCAATCTCAAGAAGCGGTCTTGAATTTACGAATTTAAGTGACGAAAGAGATTTAACGTATTTCTAAACGACCATCAACAAAGAAACACAAGGGACAGTGTGATTTGACAAAGAGATTTAGTTTTAGTGCACAGGCCCCACGGATGTAAACAAATAATATTCCCGCGCAAAACTTCTGGTGGAGAGTATGAGAAAATTATACGCTGAGTTTTTCATAACACCTATTCGGTTTGCTTTGCTTGATTTTTTTCTCTGGTGCGACGTTCAATAAATGTCTATTGATTGTCAGTTTTCAACGCTCTGTCCACTACTCTCTAATCTTCTCAGTGAATAATTTCAATGTTCTTTGTTTTCTGCTGTTAGATTCTGCCATATGAGTGAATGAGTTCTGGTCGATTAATACAGATATCGCGCAAGGGTTAGGCTGGAGGTGGGTCAATTTGATGTGTTCTCATGATTCCACTTTATTAAACATGTTTCCTACTTGACAAGGGTTGAATCCTCCTTTTCAAACAAGTTTAAATTTGCACGAGGTTCAAATAAAGAATTTTAGTCAAACAATCAACCACGCTTGAATAAGGGTTGCAGTTGTCACGACACTTTAGTTCATCATTGTTTTTCTCTAATTTCAGGCATCATAACAATGAGCAATGTCCTATACCGAGTTAGAACACGGTTATCAAGGTTTGAAGAAAGCACGTCCAGCATTTTATTTTGGTGATTCTACTGTGCGGGTGAACCATCGGGTAAGTGGACTGTTCACAATCTTTCTCCCTCTCGATGTCCTACTACCCTAAATATGTTAAATTTGCAAGAGCCCAAAACTTACCGGCGCATAATGTGTTATGCTTCTGGTTATTTTTCTCTTAAACAAATCATTTTGTGTCTTATGCTTCCATTGTCTTTATATGGGTTTTCAGCTTCCATAATTAATTAAATTTTTCTGTATTAAGCTCAGAATAGAATGAACTTAGTGATGTTACTTGCAGTCACCACAAACAATGTTGTCAATATTGTTTTCCATATTTTCTGATCACATATAATAATATAGTATAATACTCCAGTGAGCTTCAGTAGTTGTTTTATTTCTCAACAGTGGTGCTGGTGATGGATCATTACTTGAGCTCGGTTCCAGATGTGTATATCGTGGATATCGACAATACTGCAGAGCCTTACTGGCTCCACATGGTAGCACAGAATTATTTACTCAATCAAATGTTTGATTTTTTTTTTTTTTCATGGTGCAATGCATGGTTCTATATAAAATAGAAGAAATGAGAAACATTTTATCATACAGTGCTTACAGCATCTGAAACACTTTTTTTCTCTCTCCAATTCCTATTTAAAAGAAGGAATTCCTTCAAAAAAAATCTTGATTTTTTAAATTAGTCTTCAGCTTCTCTTTTCCTCTGTTTGGAACAAAAATCACTTGCTGTGTGTCTGTGTGTTGTTACCAAGTTGCTTTGCATAACAGCTCTGACAAACACTAAGCCCCAAAAAGACAATTTAAGAAAAAGAATTGTGGTTTTAAGTTCTATTTCTTTAGATTTGCATCCTTCAACACTTCACTTACCCTTCAAAATTTTGATGTGGTTATGTTTTGAAAATTTCCTTTGGCTGTGGGTATCTAGGGCCAGTTTTGTCTCTTGTCACTCCACCTTGTCGTGCTGTATCCTTGCTACTGGTTTCCACCAGTCCTTCTCCCCACCCCTTCCCTCTCTTAGTTTCTCTTTCTCTCTAGTCTTCCTCTCTCATTGGAGAACAGCATGGCAGCTTGTTTGCCTGCCTTATCTCTATTGTTTAGGAAGGAAGATGTTCTTCTATTAAGTGCTCCACAAGAACTGCTGTTCGTTTTGTGCTCCCTGCCGCCTCTGGCCTCCTCTTATCTTAGTTTGGACAAGTAATGTGGTCAAATCTCTAAAGTGTTCCAGTAACCCAATCATTCTGAGGTGTCTTTGGTTCTGACAGTGCTCTTGTAATGACCCCAATGGAATTATTTTGAATTGCAGAACTGCCATGGAATGAATCTATTGTGCCTTTGTGAAAGTGTGTGGGCGTGTTGTTCATTCTTTGGTTTCAAAGACTACTGAATTTTATTTGACCAGTCCAATGGATCCGTGGAATTGGTGGAAAGGGTGGTGGCGTCTGAAACGTTGGAGAAGCAATGAAAAGGAAGTTGTTTTCTGTGAAGAATGCGTATGTGTTTTCCTATTCAAATCTGTCTCAGTGTCCATTTGCGTGTCATGTCTTTTGCTGTGCAGGAGATGTTGGATGTCTTCGTTAATTGGTGGATGTCAATTAGCATTTAAGTCTGGATGCACTGTCTCACAAGAAGCTTAGTTAACCTGTACATCCTCCAAATCTACTCATAAGTAATATTTAATCCAAGCTACAGTGTCTTTACCAAAAAATAAATTCTCTGAAATCTTATTAAACTTTTTTGTCTCATTAGTGGTTTTATAAAATATTGTTTCATTCTGAAGATAGTGGTTCCAGCACTAATATGCATCAAAATTGCTTCTCCTTGTTTTGTTTAAGGATTTGCTTGAATTATGTGGGGGAGGGAACTTATTGTTTGCTATTGTTTATAAAAACAATGGTTAACAATCATTAATCATCTAACAATTTTGTGGTGAACCAGGTTCCATGCATGCTTCATGGATGAATAGCTGCTCCAGTGATACTTCTACAGTTGGTTTCAAGCCTACTAAAAATGTGTGCATCTTATATGCATTCTGTACAGTCAATGAGATATTATATGCTGGTGAGATTTAAATTTTTACATTTATTGAGTATCCTATTGGATTTTTATTTGTTCGTAATATTGTTTCACGTAGTAATTTCATGATTGAATTGTAGAAATTTCTATTATCTAGTTTGGTAACTAAGTATATCTGGTCTGGCTTCTTAAGGTTATTTGTGTTAATGTGGGCTCCATGGACTTGATCTTTTTTGCTCCCATATTTTTCTGGTTCTGTTTTTAGGTGCTTTTTTTTCTCCCCGTTTTCTTTCAGTTCATTGTTTTAACGTATCACTGTATACAGTTACAAATTTAATAATGTATTATCACTCACACACGTCAAAATGTCAAAATGCTGGAAGAATTTTATTAATTGACTAGTTTTGAGCCTGTTTCACCATTCAGACCCCAAAGCATCAGCACCTTAAAGCTTTGGTCTGTGTCCTATGCATTGCTTTTTTTGTTCCTGTAACTTTACATACAAAAACTTGTGTTGATTGAACGGCTTGTCATCATTTCTTGTGAGGTTTATAGCTTGCTTTTAACAAGTTTTAACAAGATTCACATTTGGAGAACTTAGTATTATTGAATGGCATATTTTATCAAATCTGTTGCATGCAGTGTTCGACGGACGTGCCTCTTGAACTCTGTTGCAGCCAGCAAGGACCTGTCGGGCTTACCAACAGCGTGTGGACACCGTGCTGGCTGTTGTATATTGCATGCGTGTGGTCTTTTGTCGCAACCAATGTTGTCTATAGTAAAAGTATGCTGTTCGCTTTGTGACGTCATTTTGGGTGTTGATGAAATGCTGGTGATTGGCTGTGTGACCAGAGGTCCCATTGAATGATGCTTCGAAAATATTAATTGTGCCTGTCTATTGTGTGTGTGCGTGCGCGCGCGCTTGAAATTTTAGTAAGAGTAGCTCACGAATACTACCGACGGTTGCCGCAGTAGACACAGAGTCGCGTGATCAGAGATAATCCAAGCGGTACGCGTCGTTTCAGAGTTAGGAACAGGCTCGGGTTCAAACACCAAGCCGTTAGCGGGCTGGCCTTTTTCCCGCCTATCCCATTAGCTCCGTGCTAAATTGAGAAGCCTCCCAATACGCTGGCGTGAAAAGCACACTTCTGTGATGGTCATTTGGTGACGAGCCAAGTCCTTTAGGGGTGGGGGCACTATTTGGGTCTCTATCGGGCCGCGTCTCACCTCGGCGGCCCTGGGGCCTGGGCCCTGGGGCGGCTGGCGGCCTCGGCGCGGGCCGTGTTGACATTGCCAGGGATGGCCCTGCTCGCTCTGCTCGAAGCCGGCAGCCTGTGGCACACGGCCTGCGAGTGCATCCGAGTCATAAAAAACCTGGTCGTAAGTCGTGCCTGTCGTCACTGCTGTGCCTGCAGTGCCGCCCCCCTCTCCGTTCTTTATCGTTATTCCCTCTTTCTGGCAGCCTGTCTGTCACCTTGCTGTCCCCTGCATGTGACCTCGAAGCGTTTCGCGTGGCGCCAGCTCAGACTCAGAGCCTAGGCTCGTCTGATAACCCCCAGTTCATCGCGCTCGAGTATATGCTCTCTCCTCATGTCGCCTCTCGATAGTCTAGCCCGTCATTTTGAGCTGTCAACGTCGTCGGCCCGTGTGCCTTGGCTGCGAGGCTGCGCGCATCCCACCGCGGCTTGCGCGGCGAGCACCATGTTTTCGCGGCAAATCCAGATCACCAAAGAGGAGTACTTGGACTTCTGGGTCAGTTGGAAGCAGGCACGGCACTCACATGATGCACTGTATGTCGAGCGCCAGCAGGATCGCGGCCAGAACCGGGCTGAACATAAATCGCTTTGGCGGCGGGACAAGTCGGTCGGATCCAGAGGCTCTCACCGTTTCCATGGCATTCCCTCCGCTACGCGCGGGGGGGAGGGGTGGGGGCTGGCGGGGGCTTCCCTCTCGTAGTCTCCGCCGCGCGGGCCCCCTATATCCATTCATCTTCCGACAAACAATAAATCCACTTTCAAATATTAAATTCGAATTTCTCTTAAAGTGCGTGCAATCCCATTGTCGTTATGGATAAACGCTACTTGGATTGGCTTTTCAAACACCAGTCTGGAAATCAAAACAGAAGTGTGACGCCGGTGACGTAGCCATTAGGATTAATTCTAATTTGTTCGAATTTGTGTGGTAGTGAGATTGAAACGTACTTAAGATTAGACATCTGAAGTGTGTTTTTAACTAATATGATAGCTCTTAGGTATACCGCTTGGAACCTAACTTGATTGACAGATTGACAGGCTAGCTAAGGAAGAATGGGCGTCGTTTTCTCTTGTTTTCCTGTACATACTGTCAAGGCTTGGCTTTGAGAGCCCTGCACTTGTCTGTTGAGTTGTTTTGCGGATAATGATGTCTTTTTGAACTCTCCAGGGAGATCTCGCCGAACTAGGCGACGATGAACTGTCCGGAGATGAGGGCAATCAGGTGCTTGTTGGCATCTGTGCTATGGCCAAAAAGTCCCAATCAAAGCCCATGAATGAGATACTCACGAGGCTACGAGAATTTGAGTATCTTAAAATGATAGTATTTCCTGAAGAAGTTATTTTAAAGGTGACTTAAGTCATAGTTGTCTTTTCCCTGGTTAAAAGGGTTGTTTATTCATAATTTGTGTTTAATGTGACAGAAACCTGTTGAGGAATGGCCATTGGTGGACTGCTTAATATCATTCCATTCAAAAGGATTTCCTTTGGACAAGGCAATACAGTATTCACAACTTAGGAGTCCTTTTATTATTAATAATCTGCACATGCAATATGATATTCAGGTATGTGAACTTGTTTTGGATCTTTTATACCATCTATTATACGAGTTTGTTACTGATTTAAATTATATTTTAGGATCGGAGGAAGGTTTATTCCATTTTAGCTGCCAATGGTATTGAAATACCACGATATGCTGTTTTAGATAGGGACTCACCTGATCCTAAACGTAAGTGGCTCATTATCTATAATGTTTGTTGTCTTTCCAATGCTGTCATGTTTATGTCTTGTGTTGTGTATCCATTGATGAATTTGCTTGATTTCTTAGATCATGAGTTGGTAGAGTCAGAAGATCATGTAGAAGTCAATGGTGTTGTCTTCAACAAGCCTTTTGTAGAAAAGCCTGTATCTGCAGAAGACCACAACATCTATATTTATTATCCAACTTCAGCTGGGGGCGGCAGCCAGAGACTCTTCAGGAAGGTAAGGTTTTGAACCTGTAAGAGCATGGGTCTTAGTGACTCTAAAGTATCAGAGTGGTTTCAACTTATGACTGAGGAAGTAATTGGTGCATGGAAGGTTTCCAGACACTTCTTTCTAGATACCAGATAAATACATCTATTTTTTAAAAGCAAAAGTAACATCTATACATAAGTGCCTTGCTTATAGAAGGTTTTCAGCGTCAGTATTTTGGAAACAGCTGTATGTTGTAAACTAGTAAACTCTCTTTGTGCATGCTTAGCTTTGTTATTTGTGGCCTACATTATCATGCAGTAGTAATCTTTAAAGCTTTTGATCATGTTTTTCATGTGCTCGACAAGAAATTTCAAAATTTGTATTTTCTTTTGTTCTCTTTGCTTTTATTTAACTTTCCCATTGTTCACACAGAAATAGGTAAAATTGAATGAGCACATTTTCATCTGTGTCATGCCCCCCAGTTCCACATTTATTTTTTCTAGGCTGTAGGTGCTGAAGGTATATGACTTTCTTGACTAAAATGAGGAGGAAGAAAGGGTTCAAATCTTAGTGGCATTTTAGTTAGGGAAAGTAGTCACAATAGAGAATGAAAAAAAGAAAAAGTTAAGGATGCAGTGGAAATCAGATAGTTGGCGTATTGTGCTTGTTGTTTCAGCCGACGCACAGAAAGAAAGCAGGGGAGGTTAGGAGTTGCTTACAACAGCTGCCCCGCAAAAGCAACGTTGTAGTTGTGAGTTTATTTTAAGGAATTTTTTTAATGCTTGGCTCATATCATGCATTTAGACTCAAAGTGTCCTTCAATTTATGACATACTTTCACTCATTGTACATGGTGCCAAAATTTTATCTCATTCTCAAAGCAATGCCCTTACGACACTTTATTTATTCCTAATTTTTAAAAGTGCCAACAAGATTGATTTCTTCCTTGTCATAAATTTTATATCTGCAAGCAACGCCTGCTTTGCCTTGTAGAATATGGAAATTTGTTTGGCATAGTGTACAAGGTTTTACTCACTTTGAACTGAAATGCAAATTTCTAGTGTCAGGTATCTTCATATTTCTTCTGCATTTCTCTCTTTCCTTCTTCATTTTTTAAAGACCCGATTATGTTTCACTTGCAGTGATTGATACTGGCAAATGTAACAGAAATACGCATGTTTGCTGTACATTTTGCTACAAGGGTTTTCAATAGGTGTAAAATATTGATACAATAAAATTGCTTTCAGTTCAGAGGAATTTTTCTATGACTCTGCAGACTTAACAAGCATGACTTCAGTATGTTATTGCACTAAGTGGTGCAAAGTGGAGCTACTATACCTCTGGGATTGCATCCAGTTTTAATTGATTTTCGTATTTAAGCTTAATTTTCTATACTTCACTGGTTTTGATTGTATTGTTTCAAATGCAATGAACTCTGTGGACCTGAGTCATAAACACAAAGCAATTCTGTTCTTTTAGCCTATGGTTCCAGCTGGGAGACTTCAGTGGCATCATTATTGTATGTTGTTACCCCATTTATAAGCTTCTGAATCAGAATGTGGCTTTCTATACAAAAAGCTTTTTGTGTGCCTCTGCTTCTATTAATGTGATGAAAGTAAATCAGTTTGTAGCTTTGGAGTTTCAAGAATTTTTACTAATGAGTGTGAATAAATATGTCCTCAGTTTTCTCTGAAATGATTTAATGCTTTTTATATTTTAGTAACTTCCACTGAAATTTTACATTTGAACAAAGGAACTCCTATTTTTAACATTGAGGTAAACAATTGTTTTAAGAAAATATGTTATTTTCTGTTTTAGATTGGGAGCCGTAGCAGTGTTTACTCTCCAGAGTCACGAGTGCGTAAAACTGGTTCTTTTATATATGAAGATTTTATGCCAACTGATGGAACTGATGTCAAGGTAGGATGGTTCCCTTCTTTTGTTGTGTGATAAACTCCATTCATATAGTTTCATGGAATTTGTTTAAAAATTTGTTGTCAGGTCTATACTGTGGGACCTGACTATGCACATGCTGAGGCTCGCAAATCTCCAGCTCTTGATGGCAAAGTGGAACGTGATTCTGAAGGAAAGGAGATTAGATACCCAGTTATCTTAACAAATGCAGAGAAATTAATTTCTCGGCGAGTTTGTCTAGCATTTAAGCAGACTGTTTGTGGCTTTGATCTACTTAGGGCAAATGGTCGCTCTTATGTATGTGATGTTAATGGATTTAGCTTTGTCAAAAACTCAAACAAATACTATGACGACTCTGCCAAAATTTTAGGGAACATGATCCTTCGGGAACTTGCTCCTACTCTCCACATTCCATGGTCTGTCCCATTTCAGCTTGATGACCCTCCATTTGTGCCTACAACCTTTGGTAAAATGTAAGTGAAAATTTTAGATAATTTTAGAAATTTTCTTTTCAATCTAAACAAACTTTTACTGACTTTTTTTTACAGGATGGAATTAAGATGTGTTGTAGCTGTCATTCGGCATGGAGACAGAACACCTAAGCAGAAAATGAAAGTTGAAGTTCGTCATCCTAAGTAAGCTCAGATATTTTAAAAAACTTAATAACATTTTTTTCAAAATTCTTGTTTTTTATACTTATTTATCCATCTTAATTTTTTCAGATTCTTTGAAATATTTGCCAAGTATGATGGGTACAAACATGGTCATGTAAAATTGAAGAGACCCAAACAGCTGCAAGAAATCTTGGACATAGCTCGGTCATTACTCTGTGATATTAAAACACATTCAGCGGACTGTGAGATAGAAGAGAAGCGGGGGAAACTGGAACAGTTAAAAAGTGTTCTGGAAATGTGAGTTCAAAATTTGTTGATCTTAAGATTAATTTTCATTTTGCATCCTACATTGTTTTCCCTTTCTTTCAGGTATGGACATTTCTCAGGAATTAATCGTAAAGTTCAGATGAAATACCAACCCAAAGGGAGGCCAAGGGGTTCAAGTAGCGATGATGGTACAGATCTTAGTACGAACATTTTTTTATTTTATTTTTTAGCTTTTATGTAATATATCAATCATGGCGCTTGTCTGTGAATTTGTTTGAAGTCAATATTTTGGGTGATAACCTGCACATGGTGCAGAAGAGAATGCTGCATTTTAAATTACAACTGACTCAACATTTTCTCAGGAGTGCTTCAGTTTGAAGTAGCACTATTATCCTGTTATGGAATACATTTCCTATGTGGTCTCATTGAATTTTTCCTCTTGCTTTCTTTGAATTTGATAGATGCTCCAAAGGAACCATCATTGGTTCTAATTTTAAAATGGGGAGGAGAACTCACACCTGCAGGCCGTATCCAGGCAGAAGAATTAGGTCGAATATTTAGGTGCATGTATCCTGGAGGACAAGGTAAGCTTATAATTAGTACATATTCACTACATTCTAAATTGATTCTTTCCCAATGCTGAGATTATTTTAATCAAATACAGTAGTTGTGTTCTCTAATCAAGCTTTGGTTTGAAATTGAGAATTGAGGCTCCTCAAGTGAACATACTTTGTTTCCTGAATGTTATCATTCGTTTTCTGATGATGTACATAAATTTCTTAAAATATGATTGCTTTGAAAGCCCTACACTATGGCTTTAAGCCTTTTCTATCTTCAACTTGTTAAATCTTGGGACCGACTGAGTAGTTCTAAGTTAGTCTCAACGTTATTCATGTTGTACCAATTCATCTGTTTGAAACAAAACAAAAATAATGAAGAAGAGACAAAAAGAAAACCATGGTTACTCCAATTCCAGGCATTAATCACTTTGAGACTTTATAGTGCTGTGCACATGCACGTCATGCTTTTTATACAGTGACCTGTCCATTGGGCGTCAGGTGGAGCGCTCGTAGCCTCTATTGCTTAATGAGTGAAGCTTGGATGGTTCGAGTGCAATATATTAAGTAACCAGGTTTTGAGTTTTACTGTACTAGTCTTGAAGCGTAAGAGCTGGAACTCATCTCACCCCCTGGGGGACTCGCACACCACTTAAGACATCGCTGCTGAGCTCTTCCTGGAACTCTTCCCGATGTATGTGTTGGATTGTATGTGAGTTTTGTGTAAACTAGGAATGGGAAACTGAAGGAAAGGCTTAACTAACTGTCATTGAGCTAATCATCCCCTACCATTCCTATACCTATGCCTGATTGCTTGCTATCAAAGGGTACACGTCCTTTTTGTCAATGAGAAGCTTCTTAACACAAATATAGAGTAATCGTTGACTGTATTTTGCTTTTATTGCTAACTAACACTTTGTGGAAGAACGAGAATTGTATTCCATCTTTTTTGCCGACTGAAGATATGATATTAACAAATATTATGCTAAAAATATTGCATTTTCTGTAGAAGATGTGTACATACATTTAGAGTAATCTCGCTGATTAGATACTATTTAATTTAGCAAAAATGCCAAATGCATTTTGGCTGCAAGTTTATTCCTTATAGCCATGAAAAGTTTTGCCTTACATTCTGCTGTTTTTTTTTTTTTTTTTTTTTAATCGGTCTTTACGTGAGATTTCTTGTGCAAAGTTTGGTCTCTGAAACCAACTACTCAAGTTAACAAAGTCACAACAATCACTGTGTCATCACATTTTCGTCACCTGTACTGAACCAAAAAGGGCCTACACTCACTTGTCATGCCTGCCACACTGTTTTGTGCAAAATTTGCATGGTGTGTAAAGTGGGTCCTGTCCTTTCTGTCATACCAGCTAGCTGCCTAAAGCTGCTGCGCCTTTTGGCTCAACAATCAACTATAACTGAATTACTTTGGCTAATGTTTACTTGTTATGGCTTCTAGCTTGCATCAAAAAATTTAACCCTTCATAAATAATACAAGTTGGGACTTTTAACAAAAATTCTGTAGATTCTAGCCTGGTTAAGGCAAGTTGCTAGCACTGTCAAGTGGTGATGGTATCTTTAGTACTGTTGGTTGCATGAATTGCAAGTGTACAGATATTACTATAACTTTAAAATTTCTTATTCACAAATGGCTTTTGAGACCCAAGTATCCATCAAAGAGAGTTCCTTTGATACTTTTAATCTGGAAATCATGTGTTTTCCTCTTGTACACATCCTGCATTTTTCAAAGGTAGAAAACACTTTAAAAACAGAGCAAAGAATTTGTGTCCCTCTTCTTTCAATATTATGTTGTCTTAAGGTGTCTCCCGGTGTGTCGCACAGCTTTCATACTTTGTTTCTCACAACCTCCCAAAATTCACTTGTTCATTAACATCTGTTAATATCCGTGCCTCCTCGTACCCTTTGCTGACGTGTGTGAATGTGTGTGCGTGCAAAAAAAGAATTGCTTGAATTTTAAGAAAAAGAAAGGTTGGATCAATGTTGCCCTGGCTGCCTGTGGGGTTTTTAATCGGGAAATATAGGTAGCTTAACTGGCTTTTAAATTTGATGTCCCTCACCTAAACTGCTGGCAGTGAGTCAATTGTGTTGCGAGTCTGAAGGGAGTGTGGTGATGAACATTTGATGGACACAGGTGAGTATGCAGGCACGCAGGGTTTGGGGTTGCTGCGACTCCATTCAACGTACCGCCATGATCTCAAGATATATGCGTCCGATGAGGGACGTGTTCAGATGACAGCAGCAGCTTTTGCCAAAGGACTGTTGGCATTGGAAGGAGAGTTGACACCAATCCTGGTCCAGATGGTGAAGAGTGCCAACACTAATGGACTTCTAGACAATGACTGTGATTCCAGCAAGGTTCAAAACATGTAAGTGGAAGGATCTGTTTTTTTCTTGTTACCTGTGTTATTTTATGTGCCGTCTTTCATATACATACAATTGTATATTTCCCGTTTTTTCCCTGCAGAGCAAAATCGAGGCTGAACGAGCTGATGCAGCAAGATCGAGAACTTAATTCAGATGACAGAGCCAAAATTAACCCATGTAATTCCCTAAGTATAGATCAAGCCCTTGATTTTGTAAAGAATCCTGTTGCTTGCTGTGAGAGGATGCAGGACTTGATACAGAAGCTTGTGGAAATAGTCCATGTTAAGAGAGATGACCCTAAAACACGAGGTGATTATTTATTTTATTTTCTTTGTAAGTATTATGCTATTATTCAATTTTTTCCCCTTTCCTTATCTTTAAACTCTTTTTCTAGATGCCATTCTTTACCATGGGGAGACATGGGAACTTATGGGACGCCGATGGGGCAAGATTGAAAAAGATTTCAGTACGAAAAACAAGAAATTTGACATCTCTAAAATTCCTGACATTTATGATTGTATCAAGTATGATCTTCAACATAACCAGCATACTTTGCAATTTGAGCAGGCAGAAGAACTGTACATGTATGCAAAATACATGGCCGATATTGTTATACCTCAGGTGAAGATTTTTGGACAAGTCTCTTACTATTTTCTCCTATGGTTGCTTTTGTTTTACCTTCTTTAATATTATTATTTTCTGTATACTCAGGAATATGGTCTAACACAGCAGGAAAAGTTAGCCATAGGTCAAGGTATTTGCACTCCTCTGTTGAAGAAAATTCGAGCTGACTTACAGCGAAATATTGAGGAGGAATGTGATGGAGAAGCTACTGTTAATAGGCTGAATCCTAGGTTTGTTACATCATTTTGTGTCTTCAATTTTTATTACCATAGTCTCATTTATTTTTTAAATTTTCAAAAGTGACAATATCAATTTATTTTTTTCCTAGATACTCGCATGGTGTTTCAAGTCCAGGAAGGCATGTGCGAACAAGACTGTACTTCACAAGTGAAAGTCATGTTCACTCACTTCTTACAGTGCTTCGTTTTGGTGGATTACTAAATGTAAGACCTTATTCCTTGTATAATGCTCTTAAACGGCTTTCATTTATTTCTTGCTGAATTTTTGTTTTGGCAGGAGGTGAAAGATGAGCAATGGAGGCGAGCTATGGAATATGTGAGCATGGTTTCAGAACTGAATTACATGTCCCAAATTGTTGTCATGCTATATGAGGATCCAACCAAAGATCCTTATTCAGAGGAAAGGTGTGTTTCCAGTGAAGCTGTTAATAATAATAATTATTGTGCAGTAATAATAATAATTAAACTAACTCTTGTGTTGCTGTTCTTTTCTGCTTGTGTTTGAAGGTTTCATGTTGAGCTCCACTTCAGCCCTGGAGTCAATTGTTGTGTTCAGAAGAATCTTCCTCCAGGTCCTGGTTTTCGCCCACATAGCCGTAATGAATCTAATAAGCCTTCCAATTTGGTAAGCACAGGCTTAAAAGGTTTATGCTGTTTTGCTTTGTAATTCTGCGTTGCACATGTCATTTCAATTTTTTCCCTGTCTTTTTTTAACAGGAGGAATCTGAATTAGAGGAAGATAATGGCAGCTTACCATCTGGATCACCCCAACCACCGGTACAAATATACTCCTTGGAATTTTTCTTCCATTTTTCTAAAACAATTTATCCATTACAGTAATTTGATTTTTTTTGTAATTTTTTAAGGAAATTCCTCCGGAAGTGGAGCTTACTCCGCCAGTACCAATTGATGGAGAAAAACAATCCAACATCAAAGTTTCTAAACCTATTCCAATTAAGTAAGAACAACCAAGCCAAAGTTCTTTATTCTGTTAACTATCCCTCATCTTTGTTTCAAATTTTAACCATGTGGTTCTTTTACACAGAGTGTCCCCAAGTAGGGTAGGTAGTGGTGGTAATGTTTCCAGCCGCCTTGTCTCAGATATTTCGGAAGAAGGTGATCCACAACATAGCAGTTCGTACTCAGGTGCACCTAAAAATGAGGTAGATACTGAACACAGAAGCCGCAGCTTTGAACAGGCAAGAACTGAACCAACAACCTCCCATGGAACGGGTAATAGATATATTCTTCCGAACTAAGAGATTTGTTTTACCAAAGGATGCAAAATTTATGTATTTGTCTTTTGTTTAATTTTGCAGCTGAGTCTAGGATGCTCCACCAGAGTCTTGATGCAGTTAATAAGCCAGGTAAGGCTGTGCCTGGAGTGTTTTCGTTAATAATGTGCCGCATGATCTTCTTTTGTTCATCTTAAAACTGTGCTTTCTGCCTCTGAGCTGAGTGTAAAGATGTAGGATGATTTTGTAAGCATTTCAGAATATCACTCTGACAGTTTCATGTGGTGGAATCATCTGAATCCTCCACGATAAATGAAATGGTGTTGAAAAGACATTGCCAATTTACTTAATCTTGTAACATTTTTATCTCATCTATTCATTTGTTGCTCAGTTTTATCACTAATTCTTCAAGTTGATGTTGAAACTTTAACTTCCTTATGCATAGTTAAGCGCCTACTGCAGCGCTACTTGCACTCCTTTTCAACCTTGTTTGCTTCAATCTTTTAACAATGTTCTGTATTAGTAATATGAGTCCCAAATTCATATTTATTAACTTAAAGCTGTGCACCTAGAATTTTTTCTTCTTTACTTTCTAGTGCCTTTGCTGGCACACTGATAGTGCTAGTGCTTCTAAGGATGCACTTCATAATCATTTTACGATGTTTCCTATATTGGGGACGTGGGCAATCACTTATTTCATAAGATAGTTCCAAATCTAAAATTTCACTGACCACAGAATATGAATTGGTCGTATTTTTGCAATGATGTATGGATGGTTCTAGAAAGGAGCCTTATGGATTGAAATACTTAGCTATTGGTCTGATAGCACAGCAGTTTTTGCGTCAAAATTGTTGATCTTTGAATCAAGCAAAAATGCGACATGAGGCAATTGGTGCAGTGGTGTTTGCTGTGTTTGTTTGTGTGTCCCGTGAGCTCATCTGGATGGAGACGTCCGTGCCGGTGCCCGCCGGGGCCAACCTGCCCTCTTAAATTGGTCCCACAATCCTCTCATGCCAGCTTGTGCTCTCTTTCCGTTTTAAATGACTAGCCAACATGTTCTCTCTTGGGGAATTTGTGTGCTTGGTTGAGAAAGTAACTGAAAGGCAGCAGGTAGCTGGCATCTAAAATGTTGTGAGAGGGTGTGTGGTGACCTGTCCCACCGTCCCCCCTTTTTTTTCCACTCCATAACCTCAGCACTCATTCCATTCCTTTCGTGCTACCATGCATTGCTCTTGCATGCTCAACCACAGCGTTACTTCTAACAAGTGCAGTTGGTTTCTCTTCTAAGTTTGTGCGCATGATTTAAAGTTCTTTATAATACAGAATAATAGTTCCTCAACTAATTTGTTATTGTTCTGTTATGTTTGGCTGTTTTTCTTTAAAACAAATTAACATTTCAGTAAGTAAAACCTGCTGTTATTGGAAAAATTTCAAACCTTCTAAAAAAAAATTTGTAACCAATTCAAAAGGTTCAAAGTCATTACAAATTTTCTGTAAATTCTTTTTTATTCATATTTAAATTTTTTATGGAAGTAGCTGCTGTTGCCCATTATCTCGCTTTACAATTCTGTTTCTTTTGTTTCCTCTCTCTCTCTCACACACACACACCTCTTTGTCTGTTCATCCTGGCTTTTTAACTGACCTCAAATACTCATTAACTGTACACTCATCCCTTGTATTCCTGTGGTGGTCATCACTATCCAGACTTGAACTGTCCTTTTCCGATATACATCAAGCATTCAGATCTTTTGCCCCTTCTGCAGAGCAGAGGCAAACGTCTTAGCAGCTCTGCTGACAATATTCTTCAAGACCCCGATTCCCCTCCTCCCCCCAGTACGTCCGAGCCCACCAGCTCCCCTAGTTCCCCTGACGGAAGCAACCCTGAGCAGAGACAGCTCTTGGTCCTGTGCAAGCGTCTCAGCAGCTCAACCAGCAGCATTCATTCAAGCCAGGACTCTGACATAGCTACCCCATTGATCGCACCCACTCGAAGACAGGCTCAACCAAAAAGGTTGAGCCTCCCCGCCCCTCCACACCCCCACCCCCTGACTAGCTACTTGACCACCTGTCCCGAGAACTCATCCTTGCCCTTGCCCGGTTCCCAACCCCCTTTTCTCGTGCACTCTCTGTCCTCTCCTGCCTTGCCCCTACCCTACCCTGATGCGAACCCACCCTCCGCTTCCCTTGCGTTGTTAGAGCGCGCGTTGGTCCGGCGACATCGGCACAGCGTCTCCGGCCAGATGAGCTACTTCAAGATGCTCGGCTTCGGGCTCTCCCCGGGCGGGGGCTTCGTGGTCCAGCAGAAGAAGCCCGGCTGTGGCTCCACCAGCTCCCTGTTCTCCACCGCCGTCATTTCGGGCTCCAGCTCGGCCCCGAATCTTCGAGACATGATCCCCAGCACACCCTCCATATCAGGTAAAGAATGTTTTGTTGCGGAAGCCCAGGGCGCAGTACCTGGCAGTCACTTTTTAAAAATTATTCTTAATTTTATTATATTTTTAATTTTGTCCTATTACTACCTATATATATTTTTTTCGGTTAAATTTTACTGTTTCTCAAGCACCTGTTACGTTTCGTAAAATTTTTTCTTTTCAAATTTCCAGCTATAGATGGGTGTGGTGGTGTACCACCCATACGACCCTTGGAAACATTGCATAATGCTCTGTCTATGAAGCAGCTAGATGGATTCCTTGATGCTATGACATCTTCACTCCAACAGAAGACACCCATACCATCGCCTCCAAAAGTACCAAGTACCCCAACGCCTCAAAGTAAGTGGATTGCAAGTAGGTCGTCTGTCTACCAGCAATTTTTTTTTTGCTTACTCACTGTCAATGATTGGCATAAAACTCAGAACCTGTGACATGCATTTCAGATGTAACCCATGACAGTGATTACTCTTTAGCACGAGCTTCCCCCGATTTGTCCAGATTCAGCCTTAGCCTCCTTCAAGTCCCTTCTCAGCCAGAATGTTTATCAAAAAAACATTCCACTGACAAGATTCCAGAGGAAGATGGAACTGAATCTCACAATGCCTAATGGGCTGCTTTATACTTTAACTCTGCCTAATGCTATCAATGCACAGTGAAAATTAGTGATGGCAATTCTTTGAACACTTCTGAATGCCTTAGCTTTATGTGAAAATTTGCTTCCTTCTGTGTCACTTCTAGTTCCTCCTGAACTTTTAATATCAGAATCCCTCAGGTGCAATTGACAAACCTAATACTGATTTACACAAACATGTTTGATTTGATTTTCTTCTTATTTTGGATTTTTTATGTGTTTTCCTCATAGGTAACAGTTGGAGTATGTGGAGTAATGAGCCTCTAGGCTATGATTGTGGGGTTGACGTTTGTGGTGATGCTGGAAGTGAAGGTGGGGGAGTTGCAACTTGTGGGTGAGTAATTTTAAATTCATTTTATTTAGAGCTGAACTACTCATTTGTTTGGCAGCCTTTCCAAATTTGCTTTTGTGCATTCTTTTTCCAGTTATGGAAATTTGGGACTGGAAGGAGCTGGTAGTGGAGACCTGACCCCTTGCTCTGCTGGTTCAGAGCTAGAATTTGAAGATGATGAAACAGTTCATGCCTCTCATAGTGATCCAGTCAACATTACTAGAGAGCGTCCGACTGAGGACCACTCCTTTGTACAACAAGGATCGCCGGGCTTGTATCGGGAGTCAACCGGAGAAGATGAAGAAAAGGAGGAATCAACTCCCGTTCTTACTGTTGCCAGTAGTTTCACAGACAGTAGTTCAATACAACGAGGTTTTGTTATATCTGAAGAAAATTTGAAGAAAAAGTGATTAGAGCTTTTGCTATTTTTTTAAATATATAGATTTATTGAAGTGTGATCATGATTGGAAAGCTTTTAACTGTATTTTATAGAATGTATTGAGTTTGTAATATATTTTACATATTCTGCATCAATATTTTTATTTTTGCATGCCTTTGTCTCATTTCACAATCAAATAATCACATTTGAGGAAACCTTGTTGCATTTGTTCGGTATCATTCCCACAAGATTAATTCAAGCAGGAAATGCATTCAACATTTGGTTTCAATTTATTTTTTTTGAGCATAGATAACTGTTCATTTAACTTAATTTTTGTTCACAAGACTCCCAATTACTGGATCAAGGTCAATTCTGTCCATAAAAAAAAAGGGTCTATAAAAACACTAGGATTTACACCAAATGAAGTTGATCAATCGGTTATTAGAGAGCAAGGCTAATGTCCGGGAAGCTGAGGAATTTTAAATTTTTTATCTATGAACTTGAATTTAGGGGCCCATTAAAGATAGATGACTGCTACCACAGAGTAAGAATTTATTAAACATAATTTTTAATAAACAAAAAAAGTGACAACCAACTTGAGATGAGCAAGAACTCTGTTGAAATTCATTGGCACAACTGTGAAGTTGAACCTCACTCTCACTCAAAAATTCAAACATTGGAGAATATTATAAGTTTCAATCCTCCACCCCATTTACATCCTCCTTATCTTTATCTTCTTCTTCTCCCCCACTGTTGTAAGTCATGCCTTCATCCTCCTCTTCTTCATCATCATCTCCTGCAACCTCAGCATTTTCAGCTTCAGCACGCTCCATCTGTCTTGCGAGTTCAGCTTCATCTGTAGCTGTGACCACTTTGGGCTGCAACAAATAAGAAAATAGCATGAACCTCAACTGAAAAGGTAAGCTACAAGTGAGTGGATCAAGAGGATAAACTTACCGCCATTTGCATAGTGAAGATGCCTCCCAAGCTTTGAATGGACTCCTTGATTTGGTCAATGGCTGTATTCAGGGCTTTCAAACCGTCAGCCTTTTCGGGGGTAGAAGTAGTCATGACTGAAACAAATAATTTTGTAATTAATAATTGACAAATGTAAAACATTTTGATTTATAGAATAATTGCTAGTGTCAAAGTATGTACCATACAAAGGTGGAGCAATTAGATTGATCTTGATTGGCAACTCCTCAGTCGAGCAGGCTAAACCAGCACGAAGAGCTGTTTTAACGGCATCAATTCCCTCATAGCCATAGCAAGCAACTTCAAAGTCAGAGCGGATTTTGACAGCTTGAGAGGTCAGCTTTCGCTTGATATTGCTAAGGAGAACTTCTTGAGTTTTTTCATCCAACCCACATTCAGCCAAAATAGATGGATCTCTGAAACATAAAGAAACAGTCATTCAGAATCTGGAAAACAAATGACAAACAATACCATAGTTGTTTCCATGTCTTACAATACTGCTTGTTTGAATGCATCGTATGCTGAACTCTTGCGAGTGTCCTCTAAATGCCAGGCTGTCTTCTGGTAGAGTTCCTCCAGCTGTTCATCAGTTTCATAGTGAAGAAGCTCGGCAACATGGCGAAGGATAGAATTAACAGCTTTTGCTTTTGAAAACCTTTCTGTGCACTTTTCCACATCTTCAGGTGACACTCTCCGCTTACTCAGATCAATGTACCCTGAAATCGAGGTAGTTGTTAGACAACCCATCTCAACTGCTAAGTGACGGTGAAGTTACAGTACAATGCCTACCTTTCTCTTTGTCAACACGAATAACCACCACTGGTTCTGTTTTTCCTACTCTGATAAGTTTGTTGATTGATCGGATACGTCTCCTAGACAATTCAGATAGGAGGATCATGCCCTCAATGTTGTTGTATTCCAATAAGTGAACATATGCGCCCATCTCAGCGATGCTGAGAACATTCACCATAACTACCGCCTCCACCTCCGGGTATTTCTCCTTGTAATATCGGCAACTCAGCGGCATGATGAGGGCTGCAAATTAGACATTCCAATCAGCATTCATCACAAGTTACAGCACCACTGCAAGATGCTGCTGACAAGTAGTCTGATGCAACACTTTTTATGGATGCAAGAGTAGAAGCGATCTGGACTACACAAGGTAGGCCACGTCATAGAACTTTACAAACTTATAACAAAAAATTATATCGGTATAAAAGCGAAACATGAGACGAAAGGTCCGATATATGAAGTATAGGTTATGCGGAAAGAATCCGGTCTGCTCTACCAGACAGTAATGTATGAACATTCGCCAAGAAGTGAGCACTTGAAAATGTTTCTTACTTTAGGAATTGCAGATCTACGTCTTAAAGAAAATAAAAATCTTTTTTCGAAGGAAATTGCACCAAATATTTGGTTAACGGGACAACAACATGTGGCAGAACCACTGAAATTTACACTGCCACTGCTCACGGCCATCTGGAGAGCAAGAAGCTGGCTTGTGGCGCGCTCTACCGACCGGCCTGGTAACTACCTTCGACCCGCGGCTTTTCGGTTTGAGGGAAGTCCGTTGGGAAGTTCAAATCGTTAGTCAGTAGGAAGGAGTTTTCTCTTCGTGTTACTCAAATAATTAAATTTCTCGTTGAAGACATTCAGCGGAGCATCATCATGACGTTGGTTGGTTCCGATTCAACAGATTGAACTATGTTTTGTATCATGCTGTCAAATAGGCTGCCTATCTCACAGGCGCTAGCGCCGGGGCGCCGCCGGGCGAGTAGGCCTCCCACCTTACAGAATGTAAGGTTCTGTTTATTGGCTTAGAAATCGGGGGTTCTTGGGTTCTAGGCCTGGATGGTCTACTTAATGTCCCCCAGAACCGAAATAAAACTAGAACACATTTACATTTATGTTGTTCTCACTATTTTATTTCACGAGCAATACTTTTTTAAAGAGGAGGATACAATTCGGACAATTGAACAGCAGCAATTGTGTGAAAATTGTGGTTCAAAGTTTTAAAAAAGTACAAGAACCAATGAAAATCAAATGAGTATTTGTGTGACCGTACATCGATACACAAATTGACAAGTTTGACAACAGTAAACATTCATCAAAATTAAAAATTTATCAGTTTAGATACACCTGTGATGTTTGAAATTGTAACGGTGCTATTCAGTACAAACTAATCCGCAAAAGTCCTCTTAACAATACTGATAGTAGCCTTGAAAACAAAACAATATATAATTAAAACAACAATATCAACAGCACATTTGCTATGCTTAAAATAGTAAAATCAGTCTTCCATAATCATTAAGGTGGGAAGTAAAACATATCCAACAACTGCATTAAAAAAATGTACCAACAGAGTATTAAATTACTTGGATACTCCACTTGCAATAAAAGAAAAATAACAAAAAAAAACGTTTGATTCCTCTATGTTCAATTCAACATAAACAGTCCTATAAAATGAATGAAAAAAAAATGGCAAAGGTCAATAATATTGCCTTAATCAACCATAATATTGAGCTGTCACAAGACCAAAATTAACAATGGTAAAATTGTCTTGTGAAATAGAACTTAAGTATTTGGCAACATTAGATCTCTCTTCCCCACCTTAACAAATACACTGCTATCTACTTCACAATCATGGAACTTGCACACAGCCTTTGAAAAAAGTGCTGTGTTCATTGCATTATATATAACTATCACAAGCTTGTCTTTACAAAAGCAAAACCCTTGAATCTCATTACCAGTCTAATTGTAATGCACTTATCTTTGGTATCTTTGAGTAGTAAGAGTCAATTCAGGTTCATGAGAAGAACAATAATCAGTACAATAGATACTCCTTTTTGTTTTTAAAAACCCAAGTTTCTTGCCAAACGTGTTTAAAATAAACAGCAACAAAAATGTGCAACAAATTGAAGTTGTTTCAAAAATAAAATAATAATTTCAATCTATTTCAAATTATAAAATAATAAACTACTGTGTTTCGGGTTTTTCACCTGATGAAGGCGATGTAGGCTGATGAGTTGGAGAGATATTTGGGGAAAGAGCGGGTGATTGAGTTGGTGTGGGATTGAGTGATGGTGCAGTTGAAGTAGCAATCTTTTTTTGAAGCCTTGCTTTCTGCAAAGAGAGATTTTACACATGAAATATATGACAAATGTAACCAACAGGAAAGTATTCCAATTTTTAACTGATCATTTTTTACCAATCCTGTTTCCTGTTTCCTCATTTTTTCCACATTTTGCATTTTTTCCAGCCTTTTCTTAGTAGCATTCATTCTGCAAAAATAGAAAGGAGGAACCAAGTTGTTCATTAGTGTTGTAACTTTACATTGTTATTACAGATAAGGATGTAGTGATATTTTTAAAACCACATACTTTTCTTTAGCTATTTTTTGTTGCTCTTTCTTCCATATGTCTTTGAAATCAGAGCAAAATGGAGACCATAGAGGGAAAAAGTCCCTTGGGGTGACTTCCGCCAAGTTGGAAGTGCCCTTTGGCTGATACTGATAAAACTTCAGTAAATGAATGAATCTGTAAAAGGGGATAAGGAACATGAAACAAATATTGAAAGTTTATATGTGACCAATGTGTCAATTTAAAAAGAACACAGACCTGTCCATGCATTCTTTTTGGTTTTCCATTTCTCCACTCACTCTCTTTGATGCTGAAAATATCGGGCACAAGTTCAAATGAGTTTCAAACAATAGCATACAATGTTGATATGAAAGCATAAAGCAGAACAGACCTGATGAGAGAAAGGTTTCCATTTTGTCCTTAAACGGCTGAAGGTTTTCTTCAGATGAAGCAGCAATAACTTTCTTCGATTTTGATTCACACGCTGCAACAAAAATTAATTGTCATGAGTATTGTTTTGATACAATCCACATTTGACAGTAATTTTGTTAATGCTGTGGAGGGTAGGAAAGGGTTTGAATGGTCATACCTTTCAGCTGGGTTTCTAATTTTTTCAAATCCGCAGTCAAATCATCAAACATAACAGCTCCAGCTTTATCAATATCTGCAGGTTCAGGAACAGGTAAAGGAGCGGTAACTGGATCGGGAACCTTCTTCATGTAAGCTCGCACAATGAAATGCAGTAAAGTAAGCTGCAAACAATAATAAAGGTAATTGCGTCAAATGAATCAGAGGTACCAAGTGTTGAATTTTTTCAATGCTATCTATTGTTGGGGGCATTGCATAATCTTACAGAATTATCAGAAGATTTCACATCTCGTAGTTTGGGTAAAATTTCCAAGCCAAACCCATCAGCCTGGCCTCTGGTTCTGTTACCACCATTCATAAAGTTTCCCAGAGCCAAGATAATAGAAAGGACTGTTTGTAAGCTTTTCGATCCCATGAGTTCCTGAATTAACACAAAGATACATCAAATGTGGTTTACTAACAAGATGGCAAAAATCAATTTGTTTACCCTAGCTAGATTTACTTACTTCAGATGTGCTTTTTATATTGTTTAATTTACTCTCTATGCTATTGATGCGATCTTCAAATTCTGATTGGAACATGAAACAAGCAATTCTTTCAGCAAAGTTAGGAATCTCCGCAAGTTCATGCAAAAATTGTTCTGGTTTATCTAGTGGGGCATCTGGGTTGCTAGCAACATGTGCTCGAATGGCTTGCAATTCTTCATCTGATGCACGCTGTAAATGGAGATTAAATTTTATATCTACATTTCAGTAAAACAAGTTCAAGTTGACTTTTAATAAATACCATACCACTTCATATATTTGTTGAAGAGCCTCTAAGCTGACTTCCGTTGTATCAAGGTTGTAAATTGCTGGAGATAAGGAAATAATAAATTGAATACATCTCCAAAGACTATTACAAGGTTACATTGAGAGAGAAAAATTGTATAGGTGACTTACCATGTTCAATTTCAGAAAAGTCTTTGTGTAAACTTGAAGCAAGGATACCAATATTTTGTGATCTCTTACTGTCTAGAATTTTTACAGCCTAGAAGTGAGGGGGAGAAAAAGGATCAATAAGAGATCATTCTACTAAAATTGTCTTAACAGAGGACACAAGATTTCTGTTTACTTGTTGTTTAGATGGTTTCTCTGTCTTTTTCTTGGTAGGTTTTCTCTCGATAACTTGTCTCGAGAAAAGTGAGGTGAAAGCATCCATATCTTCAATCTTAGCTTCTTCTAGTTGCTCCCACAACGGAGGTGGTGTGCCATTTGTGCTGCTTGCATTTGTACTGCTTACTGGTTCAGGGACATCGTTGATGGTGACAGTCACCGGAACAACAATTCTTGTCCAGTAGAGGGGCTTCATACTGACAGGTGGATTTAAAGGTTCTTTTCGGAACACTGAAACAAACACAAAACGTAAAACAATAAATATAAGAGGCTTTTGATGTCCTGTAGGGAGGTGTCATGAAAACTTACTGGCTTTTTGAGCGCTCCACCCTCCAGATGGTGGAGCTGGGAAAGGTTTTGGTCCAGAAACACCCGGTGGAGGTGGTGGAGGTACAGCCCCTGGAGGTGGGGGAGGTGGAGGGGGGCCACCACCTGGCAAAGGGGGTGGAGGTGGTGCTCCTGGCATAGGGGGTGGTGGTGGTGCCCCTGGCATAGGGGGTGGAGGAGGTGCGCCAGGCATAGGGGGTGGAGGAGGTGCCCCTAGCATAGGGGGTGGAAGAGGTGCCCCAGGCATAGGGGGTGGAGGGGGTGCCCCTGGCATAGGGGGTGCCCCTGGCATAGGGGGTGGAGGGGGAGCTTCTGGCATGGGGGGTGGAGGGGGTGCAGGGGGGGCCTCTGGCATAGGAGGTGGAGGCGGCGGAGGGGGGCCTCCTTGCACTGGGGGTGCGTCTGGCATAGGGGGAGGTTGAGGGGCTTCCGGCATAGGGGGCGGAGGAGGTGCTCCAGAGGTCACGGGCTCTGCTGATGGTGGAGAGACCCCGGAAGTTGTAGTTTCAAGCTTTTCATTAACGGAATTTGAGTTGATGGCTACTGGTGAGGTAGCAGAGTCATTGGTGGATACTTCTTCAGTTTGAGTTCCAATTGACTTTGTAGGAATAGTTCTTGGAGACAAAGGCTCTGCTACCAAAGGAGAAACCTCGTCTTTCTTTACAATTTCTTCTTTTGCTTTGGTGTCACACAATTCACTCTCTGGTATTGCTTTGGGAACAAATTCTTTTTCTTCTGTAGTTGGAGAAATAAAATCAGCAAATGCTTGATTTGTAAGGGACTGGAAGGGGATAAAAGGTTGGTTAAAACATGTCACTTTACAAAAACATTTTGTTTTCTCAATTTGTCAATTTTACCTGAATGCTGGCGATAGTTTTGTTTCTTTCAATTTCTTGCTGGTACTGGACTACTTGAGCTTCTAGTGCAGCTATCTTACTCTCGTACTCTGTGAGCTTTGCTGCATATTCACCTCGTAGTGTGAATAACGACAGCTCTTGCTTACCAGCTAAACTATTGAGGCTTTCCCTATGCTCGCGCTTCAAGCCCATTAGAGTCTGCTGGAATTCTGCAAAAGTTATTTTGTTTTAATTTTATTTTTATTAGTGACTAAGTTTATTTGACAGAAACTAAGTCTGCAATAATTTTAGTTTTTTCAAAAGCTTACAATGTGTACCAAAGATAAAATATTTACTTTCAGTGCAATTTTGAGCAATAATCTACATATGTTCAAAAAAAAAAAAAAAAAAAAAAATGGCTGTGCATGCTTTATAGAATAGGACAGGATGTGCTGCAGCAGAAAGATGTGATAATTTAAAAAATACTAATGACACTTTGATACAAATTTTTTTTTAAAAAAAAGTGCAATCACTGTCACCACAGTCACCATAGACGAGAAGCTACCCCAGGCCTACCTACGTATTGGAACAAACTCTACTTTGTAAAGAAAATAAAAGATGCTCAGGTAGAAAAAGTGCAATCAAATCTACTCAACAACACTACATTCAAGTTTACTACGTGCATTCCCAGCAGTGCCGTGTTGATCAAAATCAATCATGTACCTTCTGAATCATCCACTCCACAGGGTGTAACTGGTACTGACGTACTTCTTCCTTTACTGACGCCATTCTCTTTTCATTCCACAATCACAAAACAAATAGTAAATTTCATGATTCGAACCCGGCCAGCTCGCTGGCGCACTAAAGAAATTGAACGACTGGTTTCCGTGACTACAAGCGTACCTGCTTCCGTGTACTTGGCGCCGGGCCGCGCGCTCTGTGCGACGGGGATGGCGGACATGCCGCCCGGTCCGACGCCGGCGAGGCCCAGGCCCATCGCTGGGGGCCATGCTGCGTGTGACAGCCGGCCCGGCGTCGGGGGCGCTGTGGCGACCGTCTCCGCATGGGTCCAGTAGTAGATGAGATCTGGCTGGAATATTGAAACACGGGTCTTGACCTCGAGCGGCACTGGCGCCGACACTGTGACATGTTTTTCAAGGTGTGACGTCATACCCTGAAGAGGGAGTCCAGGGGATCCTTATCCTGGAGCTGCCTCACGACGCCGGCCTTGAGGAGGTTGGTGCAGAACTGGGCCGCCAGGATGCGCAGGTCCTGCGGCATGAGGACCTGCCGGAGGTAGTGGTCATCGGGGAACGACGACAGGAACCAATTGATGAGGACCTGGCCTGAAAATAAAAGGGCGCGGAAAAATCAGTGCGTGAAACGGGACATCCGGAAACACAATAGAGAACTGGAGACCGCGGCCGTGGAAGCAGCGGCCGTTAGCAGGTTGGCGGTTGGCGGGCTGTCCGTGCCAAACGCGTGGGCAGCCCGCGCCGCGCCGACCGCGACCGGGGACAACTGGCTCCAGCCTTAATTTGAATTCGGCCTCGATGATTCACGCTGCAGCGGGCCTAAGTGGGCGCCCCGGCGAATAGCGCGCTCTCCGCGCGATAAACCCGAGATAAGACAGAAACTGCACACTATCTCTGCCAAACGGCAAATCCCAAAGAAGCGAATCACGCAGGAAACAGTCTAAGGAAGTAAAAACGACGTCAACATGATGTCAGAGTTCTGTCTTTGACTTCAAATGGCATAACGGTGAGCGTTTCGTGTTCTTTGGGATGCGACACGGCCTTCAAAAAATAAATGTGCAGTTTCGAATTTCTCTGTAAGCGACGCGCGCCGGCGGGCAGGTAGAGACAGAAGCTGTTGTCAAAGCAGACGCCCTCCTTCACCTGGCAGAGCGACTGCGGACCCCGCGGACGGGGGTGGCGGCGCTGGCGGCGTCGGTGACGGCGGCGGCGAGTACTCGAGCACGACGGACTGCTGCTGCAGCAGGAGGCCGGAGCACAGCGGGCACCTCGCGCATCTCGCCACCATGACGCGGAGGCAGCGAAGGCCAGCGGGAGGGACATCGGCGGCCTGTCACGGCACAGCTGGGGGAGCGGGGCGGTCTGGCGCGGTGACGAGGCGACGCACCTGCTGGACCCGCGGAGCAAGCCGCGGAGCAAGGCGCGTGGCGCGGCGAGGCGACAGGTAGACTAACTGGCCCGGGCCGCGTCTCGACAAAGCGCCGCCGACGCCGTGCCGACGGAGTGGGGAGCGGCCGGGGCAGGGCGACGAGAGGGGCGTTCGCACAGTGGCCGCCGCCGTGCGGGATTAGATCAGGGACCAGGATTGCGACCCAGCCGATACGGGTTTGGGTTCGGGGACCCGCGGCGGCGGCAGGCCGGCAGGCCAGGCAGGCCAGGAAACGCCCCGAGGCGAGGCGGTGCCGCTTATCACCTCGATTGCCGTGCCAGATGCCGTGCCAGGGAGGCAGGACGCGATCACAATTAGGCGGGACACACTCGCAGCGCGCCAACGCACAGGGAAGTCCCACAGTGCCGCTCGCGGCTCCTGTCACCCGCCGAAACAAAAATGACTGGGTGGAAGCAACGGAGTGACAGGCCGGGCTTAGGCCGCGCGGGCCTTGCCTCGGCTTTCCAGTGTGATTCACACATTCGCACGGCCGCGCCTGTGTGTGGGCACCCCGCTGGCCCAGGCAGGCCAGGCCGGCTAGATGGCCAGACCGGGTGGGGCCCGCACCGCCAGCACCGTGAGCACCGCGCCATGCAAATTACGTAAGGACGCCACACCCGCGTCGTAAGTGGGCAGATGAGAAGTGTTGTTTTAAATGCCGGCGACGCGGACACGCCACGCCACCCAGCGACACCGGACACCTCGCGAGGCGCGCCCGCCATTCACCGTCGGGGGCCCACAGCGCCGACAGCGCCAGCCACGGAATTAAATTAAACTAAACACTCCGCGCAATGCGCGGGACCGGGCTGACATTGGATGACTTACATGCACCTCGCGGTCGGCCCGGTTAGGTAAGACAAAACCGCGCCCCGACACTCACCTTCAAACTTCTCGTAGATCTGGAAGTCGAGCTTCTCGGGCACGAACTTGGGCTTGGACAGCTTCTGGTCGAGGGTGGCGCGGTCCAGCGTGAGGGACGCCACCTTGCGCAGCACGTTGCTCTCGATGGGGGCGTCGCTGAGGGACGAGTGGCGTCGCGACGCCTCTGCCGCCGCCGCCGCAGCAGCAGCACTCGCAGCGGCGGCCGCGCGGCCCGCCGCCAGGTCGTCCGCGCCGTCATCGCACACGGCTGCAACAGAACGACGCGCTCGTCATCGCCAAGCTGTACTCGGCGGAGGAGGTCAGGAAGTGCCCCGGCTGCCACCTGGCGCTACCGCGCTGCCCGGCGCCCCTTGCGAAAACACAGGTCTCACTCCACGATAATCACCTGGGCACAAAGACAGGGTCACCCACTCACAATAGGCCATTGATACTTATCGCCCGGGGGCGCGCTGCCGCCCTGCCAGCCAGGTGCTAGCGGCGAAGCGGCGCCGGTGCGTTCAATGGTAAACAAACAGCAGCACCGCGGCCGGGACGCGCGTGAGTAGTAAACAAACAACATGGGTAGTAAACAAAGGGTGCGCTGCGCCGCGGGCAGCTAGCTGCAGGCCGCCTCCGGCATTGATAGGCCGGCGGTGTGGCAAATCGGGCCGGAGTGGCAGATCGCCTCGACGGCCAGTCTGCCGCCACGCCACTGGCCGCCGCTGGCCGCCGCGCGCCGCGCTCGTCGCAGAGCAGGGCGGGCGAGTGCCGACGACGAAGAAGTCATCCCAGCATCAATCATAGTTATTCAACCATCGCCACCAACCCCAACGGGTGGGTGCATCCCGCCGACTGCCGTCTGATTTCGAGCACTGCTTTCGTCGCTCTGTCCCTCTCGCACTCATGGGGCGGTCCGTAGGGGTGCGAGAGAGACAGAGTGACGAAGCAGTGTTCGGAATCAGACGGCAGGACGCCTGCACCGCGGAGGCGCCAGGCGCCACTTTTTGGAACTGTGAACTAATTTATTCCTGGCGCTGCCGGGCTGCGTGCGGCCGCAGCCTTGAGCCGGGCAGCGAAATGCAGCGAAATGGGGGCGGCAGAGACAAATGCCCGCGCCGCGCCGCGCTGCTTTGCACTGAATGCGGTCCGCGAGGTCCGCGATCGCATTAACACGACTCATTAAAAACTAGCATAATGCGAAGGCGAAGCGCAACGCGGAGCGGGCAGCGTGAGGCTGCGTCCGCGCGGCCGACGGCTGCAGACGCCGGCAGACGTCTCGGACGCGGCCCGAGCACGCCGTCGGCAGCCTGCGGCCAGCGCCACCATCGCCGGCAGCGAGCTAACGACGCAGGCGTCCCGCGTGGGTGCGAGAGAGACAGGCCGGCAAACACGGCGCACAGTGGGCCAGAAGACCGGTGGAGGCGGCCAAAACTCTAGACGCGTTTTGAGCTGCAGAGTCGCTATATAGGCCTCGAACCGATCGTGTGACCCCACCAATGGATTCCTCGTTCGGAGAGGAATCTATTGGTTGGGTCACACGATCGGTTTGAGGCCTGTTAAGCGACTCTGGAGCTCAAAACGCGTCTAGAGATTTGGCCGCCTCCGGGCCCACTGTGCGGCGGTTACGACAGGTCGAGCGCGGCGTCGCGACTGGAAGCAGCCAAGGTTTTGCGGTTCACCTATCCTGGCCTGCGCCAGGTCCACTTTTCGGTGGCGGGTGACGGTGAAGGACGACCTGGAGCCGGCGACGGACATGGCGCCTGAGAGGCCGGACACGCCCGACACGGAGCCGCCGCCGCCCAGGGAGGACACGTTGCCGGACACCGAGCCCACCGACCCCGACAGCCCCGACACGGAGCTCACCGAGCCCGCCATGGAGCCCGTCATGGAACCCGCCATGGAGTACGTCAAGTCATCCTGCAAAAAAGGTGAGAGCAAAACACAGTTAGATTAACGCCTCATGGATGGCGCTGTCGAAAACCGTAGAGAGCTGCTACCGATTCTGAGCGCCGGGACGGCGGAGGCTCGAAAAGTCTCGAAAGCCGAGTCGTGCAAGAGCGATTCGGCATTATTGGTCCATTTGGTTTGCCGTGCGGTCGGTGACAGGTGACGGGACGGGCCGGGCGGGCACGCCTAAGGCAGCCTAAGGCACGCCGGCCGGTCTGCTCCGGATTGCCGCCGTTACACTCTAAATGTAGGGTGTCCAGAAACTGGGCGCCTTTGTCGCCTGCTCCACTTTTTAGGGTGCTAAATGTCGCCCAGTTTCTGGGCACCTTTGTCGCCTAGTCTCGGGGTGGGCAAACCATTAAGGAACCTGCCTTCACCCATGGCTCAGCAGCGACTAAGGTGCCAAAGGTGCCCAGACTCTGGGCACCTTAGTCGCCCAGGAACTGGACATCTGTGCATGCTCTACCATGGGAGAGGGCCGGTTACTGCATGATTAGTCCACCCCGAGACTGGGCGACAAAGGTGCCCAGAAACTGGGCGACATTTGGCACCCTAAAAAGTGGGGCAGGCGACAAAGGCGCCCAGTTTCTGGGCACCCCATATTTAGAGTGTAGCCGAGCCATTCTGATTCTGGCCGAAGGCACCGGAGGGGACGGGGACGAGGGCGAAGGGTTACGATTACGAGGCCACGCTGCGCGGCGATGGTGGCGGCGAATGGGCGATGGGTGATTCCCGCTTTCCCATCCGCCTTCACTTCCCGCCAAGTTCCGGCCGGCAGGGCCCAGAAGGCTGAGCACCGCTTTCGTCGCTCTGTCTCTCTCGCACTCATGAGGCGTCCCGCAAGGGTGCGAGAGAGACAGAGCGACGAAAGCAGTGCTCGGAATCAGCCGGCAGGGTAGCGCCGCCAGCGATCAGCCCCTGCGGCTCGGCCGGGTAGGCAGCCGCGCCGGCGGGGTGCACGCGCGTTCGACGGGCGGGCCTACCCCCGCATACCATTACCATTACGGGCTGGACCACAATTGATCGTACGCCGTTTCGGACCCGACACACGCTCGCCTGCACTGCAACCCCTGCAGGCGCGAAGGACCTGGACAGCGGCCTATACACTGTAGTGGGCGGGCACAGCAGCAGCATCAGACGTTCCGAAAACACTCCCCACTAAATCGTGGATGTTCCTTCCAGCCCTGTCGACTCACCGTGGCCATATTCGTCGGCCGCTACAAGGACGGCGTCCTTACCTCCGCGCGCGTCGGATGACGGACTCGCGATGGCGACGCGGGGACCAGCACTGCTGCCTCATCGTTTGCGTCGCCTTATATTTTCTCTCGGGTCAGACGGTCGAACGGCCGAATGGACGAATGGGGACGGGACTGTGGACCGAGTCGGATGCCCGCCGGAGGTCGCGAGACGCTCTTAGCGCGGCGCGGCCGCGGCGAGTCCTGACATATGTGACCGCTCAATCAAACGGCGGAGGCACGAGCAGCGGTGCGGTACGGCCGCGCCGCCAGGTCGCTGGGATGACCGTCGGCAGGGGCAGGAGAAAGCGGAGGCGGAGTAGGAGGCCGGCGCGCCGTGTGCCGCGCGCCGTGGCCTGCCGATGATGGTTCCGTTTGGTTTTGAGCTTCGTGAGCCCGATCCGACCACCAGCAGGCTGCAGCCTCCAGCCCTGAAGCAGGCCGCGGCCGTGCCCTGCCCTCGGCCCTGCCGCCACATCCCACATCCCGGCGGCGGTGCGGCAGTGCCGGCAGCATGCACGCCGCGGCCCCGCGCGGCCCGCCAGGCCGCCAGGCGTGCCGGAACACCGGCCGGATCAGAACGGCCATAAAAAGGGAAACGGCAACCATGGCACGCCGCGGCACGCCGTGGCACGCCCGCAATCATTGTCATTACCGTCAACGTGTGCCTCCGCGTGCCGCACTGCAACTGCAGCACCACGCCCTGCAGGGCCCTGCCGGCAGGTCGGGAAGCCACCCGCAGCGCGCGGCTAGCGTGTCCAGGCCGCGGGCCGCCCCATGGGCCGCCCCCTGCAGCTTGCAGTGCAGGGCCCCGCCCCCCGGCCCCGCTCCATGCCCCGCACATCCGCCGCGCATCCTGCAGCCCTTCCACTGCGGCGGCGCGGCCGCCAAGGCAAAGGAGAGGCTCCTGGCTGAGGCGAGGCCGGCGTCGAGGGGCGCCAGCCGCGCCGCCACGCCCCGACCGCCACGCCCGACGGGCCCAGAGTCGTGACAAGCAGTTAAGTAGCGTAATCATGTAATCATACGCCCGGAAAATGACAATAAGGCACCTGTAAGAAGGTGCGCACGCCCCGCCACGCCCCGCCACGCCCCGCCACGCCCCGCCACGCCCCGCCACGCCCCTGAAAACTGGGCGCCGGGCGACGTGTGATCGTGACGCAACGCGTGCAGCCTAGTGCCCTCCAAGGTCACCGCTGTGATGATCGTCCCCCTGACGCGTTAGTACGCGTTACCCTACACTCACCCGGCTGAGGCCCACCGACTCGACGGCGCAGAGGTCCTGCAGCGACGCCTTGTAGGCGCGCGGCGCGTGCTGCGGCGTGGGCTGGGGCGTGCGCTCCCAGTCGGAGCGGTCGTCGCAGTCCGTGAGGGTGGCGTCGTCATCCGAAGTCTTGTCCTGCAGCCGCGACGAGTGCCGAGCCGAGGCCGGCGTCAGCGTCCGGGCGTCCGACAGGGGGTCGTCGTCGTCGTCCTCGTCGTCGGCGTGCCGGATCACATCGCCCTCGGCGCCGTCCGCGTCCGAGTAGTGGCTGGCGCCGTCCGCGCTCTGCGGTGTTAGGAACGGGTCGCTGAAACAAAGCACGAAAAAATTAGCGTGTAAATTGGAGATGTAATGTTGATTAAGTTTTCGGCCGGCGAGCTGGTTTGCTGGTTTCGGGGAGACTGACCGCGAAATGAAGGGGCCGCGCTTGGGAAAGCAAGTACCGGCGGTACCGACACCGCGAGGCGCGCGCGGCGCGAGGGAAGTGCGCCAAACACGTTGCGCTTTGTTTGCGGCCCGGACGGCAGTGCCGTGCCGTGCCCAGCCACGCCACGCCGCGCCACGCCACGCCACGCCGCCGGCATTGGGAAACGTTACCAAATTAATCCGCGACGCCGGGGAGACGGAGGGAGGGGCCGGCCAGGCTGAGGCCCTTTGTGAGCTGCCCGAGATAAGGCTGCCCGCACTGGGCCCTCGAGTAGGCTGAGGCTCCGGCTCTCCACTGGAGTCTCCAGCTCCAGGCGGCCGCTCAGGCCCGCTCCACTACGCCGCTACGCCCAGCCGGCCGACAACCTCCTCTCCCCGCCCCGCCCATCCTCCCCCACTCCAGCTCCACACTCCAGCTCTCCAGGCCGAGCCAGACGCAGCGGCTCGGCGACTAACCTCTCCAGCGCTCGCGTCCAGGTGGACGAAACTATCATTCCCATTTTCCGCCCTTTTCGTCCACTGGGGAGAGAGAAAAGTGGCCGCTGAAACGCAGCGACGTCTCCCAGAGGACGCCGCCACTGGCAGGCCTCTCACTGGCAGCGTCTTCGCGCCCGGGGCCCCTCTTTGACAGCTGCTTCCATTCATTGTCTTTGATGCCGTCGAGGAGACGAAACGTCCGCCTGGCACGCACACAGTCCCCAGGACGCCCCGAGCAGCCCCCGTGGGCCACGGTCCTTCCCCATCTGCGGCATCTGCAGCTTCCACTCACCTGTACGTGCCCGCTGAGCCCGAGCCCGAGCCTGCCGAGGTGCTGAGGACGTCGATGCCTGGTGCCCCAGGTGCTCCAGGTGCGGCCGGCCCGGCGTCTGGTCCGGTGCTCACTGCCCTCGCTGCCGAGCCTGCCGCGGCCGCCGCGGCCGTGCCGCTCTGGTGCGCGTGCAGTGCGCGGTGCGCGCCGCTCCCACCAGGCTGCGCTGCACCCGCACCACTCGCCACCGAGTCCTCCAGCTCGTCGTCCTCGGCGCCGGGCCGCGTGGGCGGGGGCGCGGGCGCCGGGCCCTTCCCCGACCTGAAGGGCGACTTCCGGGCCGCGGCTTTGCGGAGCTTGCCGGGGCTCTTGCCGCCCGCGCCCGCCCGGCCCGCCTTGCCCTCGGAGCCCTGCGGAAAGCGGCACAGTTAGGAGGGACAAGCAGGGACTGCTTGACCGGGGGCAGGTGCGACGAGTGTGCCGCCGCGCCGCCGGATGGCGGGCTGGCCGGAAGAGAGTCATGCGGGTCGAGCCGGTCAAGCACATCGGATCGGCGGGGCTGTGCGGATGGTTCGAGCAGCGCAGCAGCGCGAGGGTCGGTCGAGTGGGTCGGGGGTCGCGAGGGGAGGGGCTGTCACGCTGCTCACGCTGCAGCCGGCCTGCTGGGCGCTGGAGAGACATCGACATTTGTAGGCGCCACAGCTGCGGCAGCTGCACCAGCCCGCTTACCTGCAGATTCCCCATCCTCTCGGGGGCAACAGTGCGTCTGCGTAGGTAGCTGCGAACGATCCGCTTCAGGGGGCTGAAGAAGTGTTCGCGGTCGTCGGCATCCTCGGGCAGCTCGCTGGCGGCGGACTCCAGCGACGTGGAGCTGCCCTGGTCGTCGAGGAGGCTCGGCAGGTCCTGGTCGTCCTGATCGAGGCCATGGGCGACATAACCTCCAAAACCGAGGGCGTCGTCGCGGACGTCGTGAAGGGCCTCTTGGCGGAGGGAGGGCGGAGCACCCAATGGGGGCTCGGCCTGGATCACCTCGACCTCCGCGTCGCTCTGGTCGCCCCGGGGCGGCTGCCACAGGGCCGTTTGCCCCGCATCGTCCTCGTCGTCCTCATCGCCCTCGTCCGCGGCGGCGGGCGACAACGCCCCAACCTCGTGCGCCTCGGGTTGACGCGCCGCGAGCACGGGCGACGCGCGCACCACCTCGCTGAAGGTCCTGTACTGCACGTCGGGGAAGTCGGGCGTGGTCGCGGTCCTCACATCGTGGCTGTTTTCGTCCGACGGCGACAGCACGTCATCCTGACAGCTGCTGTTGTTGTCGCCAGGGGTGGGCCGCGGTGCATGCTGGGGCGGCTGGGTCTGCAGAGGGGCGGACGGCGGGGGTGGCAGGGGTGGCGCCGCAGCAACCCCCTGCAGTGTCTGCCCCTGCGGTGGCTCCATCTCGGCCCCGGCGTCTGCAACGGCAAAGAGGCCGGTCGATGGAGCGTGCAAGGGGTATCGCCGTCGCCGTGGGCGCGGAGTCTCGCCGTGCGCGCGGGGTATTCACAGACGGACACCTCGCCGGCCGCAGCAAGAGTCGCCCCAAATCCAGTTCGCACAACCCCAGGCCTGACTGACCAGCCCCGAGTCTGGAGCGACTTCCCCAACGCCACTTCCCTTCCATTTTTATCTGTCGCTCGAGTTCTCGAGTTCAGAATGAGTCAGAAACCTGCGACAGTCGGGAGCAGAATGGGACCGATGCACCCGATGAGTGAACCTAGCCGAATTACAGCCTACATTATTTTGAAGGGTGCGACTTACATCCCCAGACCCGCACTAATCCGACGCCCCGGGGCGCAGGGCCTCGAAGGCGACGCTGGCGCGCGGACGAGCGACGCGGACGTGCTGCGGGACACCGAGACGCAGCATCAGGCCGCCGATGACGGGCCGGGCGGGCCGGCTTGACCCTCACACCCCGAAGTCTCAGCGAGGACTGATAAAGCCCTCGTATCTGATAAATGCGGTAGGGTAGAGCTGCGCTGCCCAGACCGCCGCCGGGCCCGGCGAAAGGGTCGGGGAAGTCGCGCGCACTGCACTGTCAGCGCCCGGGGAATAGGCAACACAACACACGGGAACGCCCAGGCGCTCTGCGAAATTTGAGTGGCTGGACCACAAATGATCGTTGAAGACTGCTAACGACGCATTTACCAGAGAGACGAGTCGAGGTGGGAGGACCTGCACTGTACACACCTGGTGGCGGTGCCGCGGGCTCCCTCCTCATCCTGAAGATGCTGTGTATGAAGTTCATGGTGGACGCCGCCGACCGCCGCCGCGCAGGGCGGACGTCGTGGCCGTCGCGGACGCCGCGGACGTCTGGCTGTGTCGCGTGCCGTGCAACAACTACCAACTACTTGGCACCTGGCGACTGTCTATCGGCTCGTTGGCACTCCGGCCCAGTCCGCGGAGGAGGCGCGAAGCGCGAAGCGGTGCGTAGCAGCGCCAAGCTGGTGGCGGGGAAACCGGTCCACGGCGCAATCCCCGGCCAGGGGCCGGACGCGACGCACGGCGCGCGCCACGCCGCGGCCAGGATGGACTCCGAGTGGCTCCACTCCGGCAGCGCCACGGCCTGGGCGCGGGGAAGGACTCGCGCCGACTGGAGTGACTCTTGGCGGCCGCCGTCTGCGTGCCTGGCGAGGCTGCGAGGCGGTGACACTACGCCCATTCATTACCCCGCCGTTGTTGCGCTCGTTTGCACGCCGCGGTGCCGCCTCGCGGTGCCGCCTCGCGGTGCCGCCTCGCGGTGCCACGCTGCGAGTGGGCAGACGGTGCAATCCAGTGCAGGCCGCATCGAGTCCAGCCCAGCCAGCCGCGGAGGCGGAGGCAGGAGGAGGCAGGCGGCTCCAGGACGCTGATCGATGTCTTCCGAGGCGGAGGGCGGAGGAGGGCCCATCATACTACAGGTGGGCCCGAAGCCTAATCCTCGTGGCACTGAGGGCAGACACAGTCCAGCAGCCATGGGTTCATCGTGTGTGTATGGCACCTGTTTGCCTGTGAGGATTCTCCATGGTGGAGTCTCGGTGCTGCCCTGCCCTCACGTCTCGTGCGCCAAAGCTGCAGGTGGCCTTTTTCCGCTGTGCGATGTGTGACTGTGTGGAAGCATGGAAGTGGGTGCAGAGCGCAGAGCCTCATTTACCGGCTGTTCTTTCTGTCCCGTTTCTTTTCTTTTCGCACGCCGCCGTCAGAACGGGCCCCGTTGCATTGCGTACAGATCTTTAGATTTACCGAGGCAGATCGGCGGGCAGAACAGTGCCGCGCTGCATGGCGTGGGCCGGAGTACTGTGGGTCGACGAGTGTACACGGATGTGGAAAACGGTGTGGACTGAAGCTGCTCGCGTAGGATCTATTCCAATGTGTGCGTCAGAGGGGCAATAAAGTAGACCAGATATTCTGTCATATAATACACAATTTATTTCACATTATAAAATCCAACAATGTCATTTGTACAGGTGTTTGTGACCAAGTTTTAAATTATATTTACATAGCATTTCTTAACTGGACACATCTCTTCACCACACAAACATCAAAATTACAATTAAACATTACAATCACAAATGCAGAATCATTAAGTACAGCTCTCATAGTTGCATACAGGAACGTTCTTAAAATCCATTGAATTCCATATCATGCTGTATATACGTATATTGACGAAATGCAAGCAACAACAAACAATAATGCATTCTACAATAGTCATGGTCGCAATAAAAACACAACAAAATTAACTCATGGACTTCATATACTAAGTGATTCATTATGAATGGATGATTCACACAGAATGCTAACAGAGAGATATGTACATACAATTCAATACAAATAATTCCATGAATTTGATTCCTTTCAATATAAACAATAAATCTGTATTAGTTAAAATTTACTAACAAAAGTGAAAACAAATGAGATCATGAACAAAAAATACTTTGTTTCCAGCAATATAATGCATTTGAAAAAAATAACAATTCTAAAAGAATCCATATTTCTCCTAAACTTTACAACTATACATGGAAGTGAAAAAATTATAGCAACTCCTGCATGTAATAATGGAAATACAAAGTACGATTAAGGGAGAAAGTAAGTAGGAAGCAGTACAATGGCAGCATGAGGATATTAATTTATGTATGAAATAACCAAGAGGTGAGGGGAGGGGGAGTGGACGGTGGGAACTATAGATAGAGGCGCTTCTCATAGAAAGCTTGTTACCGCTGTAGGTTCATGACAATGAATGCCACCATAATTGTTTGGCAGATAAAGACACTTTTCTTCTAAAATTTGAAAAGCTGTACTAGTATTTAAAAATGGTAGACGTTGCTAAGAAGAGTTGCCGTAGAGTTTGAATGCATTATGCTATGTCTAAAAATATTACACTGCAGATTTTCAAACACTATTGCAACTCTCACAAGCATGTGTCCGACCAGTTTCTGCTTCAAGCTAAAATATTTCTTACAGAGATGATGTTACCTAGGTATGACACATTTTTACAAGCAATTTGTATGTACACCAGCTACATTACAAGTTTATAAGAATCACACAATTTACAAAGTTTGAGCACTTCACATGGAAAAGAAGAAAAAAGAGAATTAAAAAAATAACATTTTTGTATAAAAATACAAAAACAAAAGTTAACACAAAGCTGTATGCTGTGGATGTTTGGTCCATAACTGCTCCTGGTGCACAACACAGCCAGCAGATTTTCAATCAAAACAAAATACCATAAAGCTCAAGAGCCAATGGTTACATAAGGATACACCGAAACTATGAAGCCAAATCAGAACATCTTCAAACAAATGGCACATAAACTGAAATATTACAGCAGCAAAAAGCTCTTAGCTTACACATCAAGATAAGTACCAAAATTATACAGCTTAATATTATATAATAAGGTATCATTTGGCACTGATGATAATATTGAGAAATTCCTCACAAAGTTTTCTATGTCCAAAGAATTACCTCAACACACACAACTAACTGTATCACTTAATTTTTACCAAATGAACACGTTTAAGAATACACACTCACACACACGCGCGTGTTTCAATTCATACTCGATACGACTTGGCGAAACATGTGGCTTTTCAGACTTTTCTACCTTCTGTAAGATAGGTATCAGAATTGCCAGACAATGTGTGAGTAATTTAATAAGTAGAACCAAATTTTAAGTAGGTTTTCTAAGTAGCAAAGTAAATTCTTTCTGCTATCACAACACAATGTGTGATAGCATACAGCATTGTTCCCCTTGGGGGAAAACTAAAAGTGCTTCGATCAATGGCAAAGCTAATCACTGTGGTCAATAAAATTAAAACTAGATTGGAAAAGAGGTGGAACGATATAGCAGTTGTTGAGTGAGGTTTCAATTTTGTGTAAAAGCAAGCGCAGTCAAAGTCAAATCACATGAACACCTCTATTCCCTAGACTTCATAAAAGAGTGACTAAGTTACAAGAACTAGTGTTGAATCACGAAGATATTTACACCTCATGATAGAATACAAACAAGACTCTCTTTCTTTTTAGCAGGTAATATGCAGTTCCACAGAACAATACAGCTAAAAGAAGAGTCATTCGTCATGATTCAACAAAAGTTTCTTGCTTTCCAAGGAAAATGAATTCACAAAAAACAAGATTATGACATGAACCTACCATCAATAAAAAAAATAAACAATAATATTCATAATAATTAAGTTTTAAGAATGAAATGCTATTTTAAAAACAGTTATTGAAAAATTTAACAAATATTTTATAACCAGTCCAAGCCCAGTAGTAAATGCAGAGATAAACCTGAAATTGGTTTCTTCTTCAGATTTATGCGAACACAAGTTGGAAGAAGCAAACCAATTGTTCTGAGAAAGGAGTGGTTACTTGAAAGAGAATCTAAATAGTGGGTCATGTCTAAATCCCAAAGTCATGAAAACATTTAAACTCGGATGTAGCAGCCCGAAATTACTGTCAAACAAATGTACTACTTAAAATTACACAAGCAGTTGCTTGCAATAACTATGTACAATATTGATGAGACTTTGTGGACACACATTAAATGACAAGAGAAAATGGAAAATATCACACTCAATCATCCCTTAATATGTGCCATACCTATTCTGCAATTTTGTTCTTTAATCAGTCTGTCGTTTCAAAAGTGCATGAGTTGTAGCCATTAATGACACTTCATACACATAATGCATATTTCAAGAGAGAATCAGCACTTTGAATACCACGCTTACCATATAAACACTTCAGACTGTTACTCAGTCTTGTGCCTTTTTTGTAACTGCATGATAAATACACAGCACCATTAAATGGACAACATACACGAGACTTCTCTTTTATCTCTTAGTACAAAACGAAAGGTTTAACAATGACTAACTCTTCTGGTCCAGACATAAACCACAAGAAGATAATGTCAACAACAATTTTGTCATTCATAACACACAAAATCACATTCACACACTCAAGCACACTTACACACATACACACCTACCAGTTCGTTGCACAGTTGGTTTGGTTTTGTGTCGTTGTGGTAATGACTTTCAGCCAACATCTATTCACACTGACACAATTTGGTTTGACTTAGAACACACCTCCCACTTGAGAGCTCACAAAACCTTAATGTCCATAGTTTTGTGTGGCCCTAATAAGAGTGGTGAGAAACAGGGTAACTGGCCAGTTCAAGCTTCAAGCCTGCCAGTTTGGTGGGGCATGAGTTTGGAAAGTCGCGCCACACGGGTGGCGCGAATCCCACCCTCAAACAATTATTTCACGAATTACTCTTCTGTTCCGTGAGTTAGGTGTAGAGTACCCGCTTTCCAAACTTTCATCATAAGGCATGCCCATATGAGGTTGTTTGTCATCCATTTGCTGATCCATCTGCTCCATGTATGGATCAGGCAGTCCGCTCACATCATGGTAAGGTGAATCTGAGAATGGAAGAGACAAAAGAGTTGTGAGAATATGCCAAAGAGATTACTTCAAAATTTCCAAGCTAATTGTATTAAAAACATGATAAATTTATCTTTTAAAACTTACCTATGTGTTGATCCATTCTCCGCCTTGGTTTCTGGACTGCTGCATATGGGTCACCAGATGGCGCATACTCTTGCCTTGAAGGATTGGCACTGTTTCGACCCTGATTCATGTGGTGTCCGTAGTCCAAATCACCAGGCTGTTGGGGGTAGGCTGCATAGTCGTCGACTGCTCCATAACCACCGTGTGACATGGGATCGTATCCATAGGTGGAGCCGTGCGTGTGGAGGTTGGGGTGAGAGTGTTGGAACTGGCTCTGTGGGTCGACACTTGGAATTCCAGTTTGGCTTCCATTGTTGCTGGCTGCTGCGGCCATCTTCATTTGCCAGAGGGAGTCCTGGGAGTTGACTGAGCCACCATTGTTGGAATTGGAATAACTATTCTCCATGTAGCCCATGTTGACCCCTGCAAGGAGAGAAAGAAATCCAATAAGACCAAGCAATAGACACAGTGATTCCTGCACTACAATCAGTACATTACACCTGGCAACTAGCTTCTCAAAATTAGTCACAATTTGCTCCTAATAATCAAATACAGTTACTGCATCAAGTTTGAAAATAATCACTTCAAATTTTTGTGTAAATTAAACTGAAATGTGTCAATTACTGAAAAGCATAACAGCACTAAGTAAATTTTGATGTACAGCAAAAATTGACATCATCTACTTTGAAACACAATCAGCAACAAATATTGACAAATATACATCTCATTGGCATGCTCCACTAGTGCTAACCACAGATGGAATACTAAAACATACCGAGAGTTTTTCCTTGCTCTGCTAGAAAAAAATGTTAAAGTATTACAACTTTGACAATTTAAAATGATAAAAATCTGAATCTGATGCCTATTAACTTTAGACCTGACGATTTCTCAGCCTTCAATTTGACATGAAAAGACTGCATTAAATCATCCAACAGCAGTCGCAAGTCAGGTAAAAAAAAAAGACTAAATAACTCACATTCCCCACCATTTATGCCGTGTGTCTGAGGAGGTCCATGGTGCTGGTGGCCGGGCATCGCTCCATGGTAGCCGTAGCCGTTCTGGGCAGCGTAGACGTGGTGTCCCTTGGTGGCGTCATCCAGGGCAAGGTCCAGGGAGTGCTCCAGTGCCTTGTTCTCCAGACCCGAGCTTGGGTAGTAGGGTGGGGGAGGCTGCGTCACCATACTGGGGCCAACACTGTAGAATCCATAGCAGGTCAGACTGATGCCATAATTGACTTCTTTACCTTTGTACAAGTGTTTCACTAATCATATAGTACAAAATTTTAGAAAACATATGAAGGAAGATACTTGGTAGATCACAACATTTAAGAAAATGCCACACAGCACATATACATGCAAAACAGCATACATTCTATAAAAGTTTTTAAAAATCTACCACACATTGTGAGAAAATTTTGAGTGGAAAATATTGATATGAAGAATGATATGGTGAAGTTTGTTACATAATTGTCACATTGGTAAGAAAATAATTTTGGTGTATGAATGGAACCTAGCCTATGAAGCCATGAATAATCTTTCAGAGTGCACTAACTACACAACAAATTTGGGGTAAAACCAAGGGAAGACTACAGTGTCTTATAATGAAACGATACTATTATATTTACATTTACATCCCCAAAACGAACAGACATGTAAGAGAGAAAAAAGTGAGAATACACATTACTATGCAAATCATGGCAGTACCCTCTAAAATGCATTAGCAAATTGATTGCTAAGTATGTAACATGCACATTTTAGAAAGTCTTAGCAAAGAGCACGATCAAAACCAATTTTCATTATCGTTTGTAACAAATATCAAAAGGATAATCCCTACTCTAAGAATTTTTGCTACTTTTTGTCTGAAAATTACAAGTTGCCAAGAAAGTCAATTTTCTTGAAGACTAGCTCCATATCAATTTTCCAATTTATTGGGAGAAAAGAAGGAAAGACATACTCTAGAGCCAGCAAATTCTATGAGAGGAGTCACAGAGAAATGCAAAATAAGCTAATCACTATGCTTGTAGCAACCAATCTCAGCGCAATCACAAAGCTTCTTGGCATCTAAGCTTTATGATTAAAAATTAAACGAGGCAATCGATTTGAAAACACAAAAAAAGAGAATTCAAGTCAGAAGAACAAACATAGATTTTCATGCTACTACTGCCAAGCCGCCTTGAAGTTGCATTGAATTGGCATAATGCAGATGTTCAAATAATTTTGTTTTTAAGCTTCCTGCTTATGAACACCTTCCATGAAAGTTTACACACACCCTTTGCTTTAAGACCCATTCCTTCAGTGCAAAAATAATTGTGATAACCAGGGCCCATGGTAAACGCATCTCATCTCTTAGCACATCCAAAATTGGAAAGTAAAGAAAAGGTTTCAAAATGATACTCACTTTGAGGAATTCATTTCATAGTTCTTCCCACTGGCTTTCTTGTTCTGGTGCCGCTTGCAACGGCAGAACATGAAGAGCAATCCGACAAAGAGGATGAACACCACACAAGACACGACAATGGCAATCAGTGTTGGTGTTGCTAGCACGGAAGCCTCCTTGATGTAAGAAGGCCCAACTGGAGAGAGAACACGTAAAATATGTTAAACAAGAACTCGAAAAAATGTACCGCAGAAAGAAATACCAAAAAACAGGAAAGAAACATACTGTCGGCTTCGGTGTAGTCGCCACAGGTTTCAGGGTTGGACCGCAGGCACAGCTTGACGCGCACGCGGGGGTCTCCCTGCGTGACGGCGTTGTGCTCGGGGTCGAGCACGTCCTCGGGCACCTCGCTGCCGTAGTAGTTGTCGTCGCCTCCGAGAGACCTGCCGGTCGACCTGAATCCACTCTCCTGGAGGAAAAAGAGAGACGCGTTAGCATTCGCTTGGCCGAGACGGAGAGAGAGAGAGGCAGTCCGGTGTCCCCGGCCTGGCGGGGCGTGGCCTGGCGGGGCGTGGCCTGGCGGGGCGTGGCCTGGCGTACTCACCGGGTGCGTCTTGCTGGCCACCAGCGAGGAGATGACGGCCTCCCTGCGGGTGGCGGCGCCGCCGTTGGCCACGATGGGCAGCGTGTCCACGAGGTGCCACTCGTCCATCTCCTGGCCGGTGCTCACGTCCTGCACGATGCCGAGCGAGGCCTCGACCTGGCCCATGAGCTGCAGGCACGTGGCGGCGATGTTGATGGACAGCAGGTGGGACTCGGGGTCGTAGGTGACGCGCTGGGGCGCGGGGATGCGGTCCACCTTGGTGAGGGCGGCCACGGACTCGGAGTAGTTGCTGTGGCCCTTGGTGTTGTAGGCCTTCACCTTGAAGACGTAGCTGGCGTGCTGCTCCAGGGAGGTCACGTTGCAGGGGTTGTTCTTCTGGCAGTCGAACTCCTGCCAGCCGCCGGCCTCCCCGGACGTCGCCTCCGAGGAGCTGACCAGGTTGGCGTTGACGCTGGGGGGCGCGGCGGAGTAGCAGTCGCTGGCCAGGTCGCCGCCCTCGGTGTTGCTGCCGCCCGCCACGCGGCGGTACGACACGAAGTACTTGGTGTTCTGCACGCCGCCGTCGAAGCCGGCCTCCCACAAGAGCGTCACGTAGTTGTGGCCCACGGCGGTCGACTTGACGGCCTGGGGGTGTTCGGGGGGTCCCTTGGGCTGCAGCTTGATGGTCTCCCGCTTGGTGCCGAGGCCGTTGTTGGCGCGGCAGGTGTACTCGCCGTAGTCCACGTCGCGGATGTTGGAAACCTGCGGGAAGGGCAAGGCAGCGTTAGGCAGGGTTCGAATCCTGACCGGGTGGAGCAAAGCGAAAACGGAGCAGGGCGCGTCGCTTACCTTGAGCACGCTGGTGTAGATGTCGCCGTTCTCGGTGCTGGTGGTGATCTCGTAGTGGCCCTCGCTGCTGGTGAGCAGGGCGGCCTGGTTGCTGCCGTAACTCCACTGGAACTCGGGGCGCGGGTAGGCCTGCACGCGGCACACCACCTGGGCGTCCTCGCGGAGGTCGTAGGCCACCTTGTTGTAGCGGTTCAGGCTGATGGGCTCGTCTGTGGGGACAAGAGAAACACCGTGAGGCTCGGCCGGCGGACGAAACCACCCCCACAACCACAAACGCCGAAATGAAATACTCACGTTCAATGCGCAGGTGCATGGTGGACTCGGTCTTCTTCACTTCGTTCTCGAAGATGCAGGTGTACACGCCGCGGTCGCTGGGCTCCAGCTGGTTGTGCTCCTTGCGGTCCGGGCCGCTGAACTTGAGGATGCTCTGCACGGTGTAGACGGCGTTGCGCGCCTCCGACTCCTCGGTGCTGATGTCGTAGAAGCCGCTGCCGGGGGTGCCGGCGCCGATGTCGCGGCCGTCCTTGAGCCAGCGGATGGAGGGCTTGGGCTTGCCCTGCGCGCCGCACATGGCCGTGAAGTCGTCGTTGCGCACGCGCCTCGTCACGTGGGGCTGCAGCTTGGCCAGGAAGCGCGGCGGCTGGTGCACCTCCAGGAACACGGAGGCGGGCTCGCCCTGCCCGATCTCGTTGGAGGCCTGGCAGTGGTAGGTGCCCTCGCTGCCCAGGTGCGTCGACGTGATGGTGTACTTGGGGCCGGTGGTGAGCACGGTGGCGGGGCTGTTGCCGTTGCTGCTGCTGTTGCTGTCGGCGGGGTCGCGCCACCAGCGGAACTGCGGCAAGGGCCAGCCGGGCGGGTTGGCGGAGCAGGTGAGGGTGACGCCGGCGCCCTCGGTGGCCACGGGCTTGTCGGGGGAGATGCGGGCCAGGCCGGGCTTGTGGCGCACGAGCAGCGTGAGCGACGCGTTGCCGATGTGCTCGACGCGGCGCCGCGGCGGCGTGGACACGTCCAGGGTGTTGACGGCGCGGCACATGTACACGCCGGCGGACTCGGCCGTGACGCGGGGCAGCGACAGCACGGTGCCGGACTGGCGGAACTCGGGCCGGCCCTCGCGCACCCACTCCACCACGGAGGGCTTGGGGTTGGCCGACACGTTGCAGTGCACCGTCAGGCTCTCGTACTCCTCGGCCTCGCGGTGCTTCGAGTCCAGCGTCACTTGCGGCGGGTACAACACGTCCAGGGTGATCTCGGCCTCGCCGACCTGGCCCAGGCCGTTGTCGGCCGAGCACACGTACTTGCCGGCGTCCTGCACGGACACGCGGTGGATGGTGTGCGTGAAGGAGGTGGCCACGAAGCGGCCGTTGCGGGTCCAGCGCACGTTGCTGACGCGCGGCTTGGCGTCCACGTTGCACTGCAGGGTGGCGGTGCCGTCGCGCTCCACGCGAACGGGGTTGTCGGGGCCGATCTCCACGCGGGGGAAGTCTGGAAGCACAAGGAGGCCGCGGTTAGTCACCAGGAGTAATGGCTCGGGAGCCCAGCACTGCTCGGCATTGCTCAACACTGCTCAACACGTCCCCGTCACCAACACCTGAGCCGTGCGTGTGACTCACACGGCGACAGAATTCACACCTCCGCACACGGACGAGCCTGTCCTTCCGGGCCGCGCCCTGAGTGACGCGGCCGGAGCGGCGGAAGGGCCGGGCAGGGCCGGCCAGGCCAGCATCACACCCGTCTTGAAGGGGATCGGGTTGCCGGGCCACGCCGCGCCGTGCCACGCCATTGACAGGGCGACAACGCACTGCTTAGCAGCCCCGAGGCCGTGAGTCGGACAAACCCCTTCCGGCCCAAGCGGGCCGAGACCGGGCCGAGGCCGGGCCGGCGTTTAGTCGCCGTCACCGTGACACGGCGGCGTGACAACCCGACGCGACAGGCAGCGACGTCACGCAGATAGCGCTACCTAGGCCGCGACACACACACACACACACACACACACACGAAAATAAATCTAAATTCCTCATCCAGTAGAGCCCCCGCCTCGGGCCCCTCCCTTTGTGGGCCGTCCTCCGCCGGAGCGTGGCGAACCGAACCGCGCGGCCGAGGACGCCCGATGGAAATCAGCCCTTACGCTCCCGTTGTCGTCGCCCAGAGAATACGCAAAAAACAAAGCAAATACTGTCTGTAAGTAGAGAGAGAGAAGCGGAGAGAAAAGAAGACGCAAAAAAACTGCCAAGTGGAGCAAGCGGGCGCGCGGGGGCAGGTGTGGGGGGGACCTGTTGATAACACTCCACTCCCCCACGGAAACAAGCGGGCCTGATAAGAATCGGGAAGACGGAGGAAAGGGGGGAAGGGGGCGTCGGTAAAAAGACGACGACACAGTAAAGAGAGCGCTTTGTTTTCTGGAAACCACGACCCTTCCCTAGAAAGGGCCATTTTATTGGAGTGAGGCGCTGCTGCTGACGGGGACGGGCAGGGCCGGGCACAGCACAGCGACTTTACTCCAGAGGGCCCTCGGCACGCCCCACCCCGCCCGCCCCGCCCCGCCCCGCCCCGCCTCGCTCGGTTCGAAACTTGGGATGTGGAACAACAAACACGAGAAAAAGAACGCCGGCCGCCTCGCCGCTCCCTCGGCTCCCCTCGAGAGACCGAGGCAGCGCGCGAGCCCCAGCAGCCCCAGCAGCAGCCAGATTGGCCTAGTCTATGCAGTCCGCCCCAGGGAGCGGATTGGCTGAGCGAGCAGGTCCTGCCCAAATCCCCTGGCCGCGGCTTTTCGCCCCCCCCCCCCCCCCCAAGCTCCCCGAAAGCACAAAAGAAGCCACAGCGATAATCACGGGCAGAGCTGGAGGCAGCGCGGCAGCGCGATGAGGGGTATTGGCCGAATTGGCACGGCGCGCGCTCTCCGCTGCCCCGCCCCGCCCCGCCGACGCCGTTGCCAATTCCGTTAATTGCCGTGCAGGGAAAAGGGGCGGACGGCCGCGGCGGGGTTTGAGCGACGCGTCGCCGCCCCGCCAAACCCCGAACCCAAAGCCCCTACCAAAGCGGCAGTGGGACGGCGCACAGTGGGCCAGAAGACCGGTTGAAGCGGCCAAAATTCTTGACGCGTTATGAGTTCCAGAGTCGCTAAATCGGACTCGAGTCAAGCGTGTGACCCCACCAATGGCTTGCTCTCCGAACGAGGAATCCATTGGTGGGGTCACACGTTCGGTTCGGGTCCTGTGTAGCGACTCTGGAGCTCAACACGCGTCTAGAGTTTTGGCCACCTCCACCGGTCTTCTGGCCCACTCACTGTGCGGCGCGTCCATGTACATGTGTGCGCGGTAACGGATAGCATCGAGTGCAGCAGAGCGAGTGCAGGGCGGCCAGCGCCGCGCCCACGGGCTTCCGTCGCGGCGAGCGTGGCGGCACCGCGGCGGCACGGCGGCACGCCGACGAGGCCGTAGGCGTCGAGGAGGAGAAGAAGAGGGCCCTGCGGCCGGCCGGCTGGCCCTGGACCAAGTCGCTATCAGATGAACGGGTTATTGAAACCGCATTAGCCGCACGTCGCCCTGCCTGCCCTGGCCGGCCGGCTTGACAAGGCTTGCCGGCCCCCGCCTTAATAACCCCCTCCATTGCCACCTCCCGGACCGCCTCGCCTTTAATGAGGGGCTGCTCTGATTGATTTCTTATGCAAGTAGCGAAAAAGGCGAAGGCGAGGCAGGCGAGCCTGCCAGTGTGCCTGCCTGTGTGCAGCAAGGCTCCGTGGCTCCGCGCCGCGGCATGCCGTCAGGCTAACTAGACGTCCGAGGCCAGTAAAGTTACTCGTAAAAGTCCGCTAAGCGCGAGCTAAGCGACAACGCGGAGGGAAAGGCCAGTCCTACCCTGCCCGCAAAAAACCCATAGCAAAAGCGACGGTACTCACAGTTGACGGAGAGGGTGACCACGGTCTCCAGCTTGGTGCCCTCGGGCATGGCGCGGTTCCAGACGACGCAGCGGTACACGGCGCCGTCGTCCGTCCTCGACGCGTTCACCGTCAGCACGGCCGTGGTGGCCACGTCACGGGAGGCGCCGTTCTTCATGGTGGCTTCCAGCGGGAACGTGTTGCCTTCCTTGTACCACCTGGAAAAGACGAAAAAAGGTTAGTTTCGGTGGCCTCAGCGCCTGCGAGGTAGGCAACTCCTCCGGCACGCTACGCACGGCCGCCGCGCGGGTTGCCTACCCGAACGCCTGCAGTTTGCAGGCGCCTGGGTAGGCAGCCCGGCGGACCGGCCGCCTCATCAACCTCGCCGATTATGCTGGCCCGTGCATAACGGTCAGGCCCGCCGCTTCACTTACTCATCCTCATGCCGAAACGGCGAAACGCGACGCGCACCTCGTTCTCCTCAATGACCCCCCGGTCGCCCCGCCTCCCTGATTGGGTCGATCCGGGGCTCTTAGCCCGCATTACAACGCGCGGTCCAGTTTGGGCCGCCGTCGCCCGTCCCGTCCGGCCGGCTGCAGCCCCGTCCCAAGTCCAGTCCGTCTTGTCCATCAATCAGACGGCCGGCCTGCCCGGTCGGGATGAGCCCCCCGCCGTCTCTCTCGCACCCGAGCGGGGCGCCCCGCGAGAGAGAGAGAGAGAGAGAGAGAGAGAGAGAGAGAGAGAGAGAGAGAGAGAGAGAGAGAGAGAGAGAGAGAGAGAGAGAGAGAGAGAGAGAGAGAGAGATGGCCGGCATGTCCGCTGCTAATCGATTCGGCCTGTTTGCTTTGCTTCCCGAGTCCACCTGCGCGCTGCGCTGTAGCCGAGGGCCTGGCCGTGCCGGGCTGTGCCTCGCTGGGGCTGCCGGCAACAAAGAGGAGCGGCAACCCCCCCCCCCCTTTTCCCTCTCACTTCCGGTGCTGCACGCCGTAAACTCCTCGGTTGTCGATCCCCTTTACTTGAGATGACTCAATCAGTGGAGCAACTAGCGGCCAGCCGGGCAGCCAGCCACCCCCAACAGGTAGCCGGAAGGCGAGCAGCCCGTTCGCTAACAACTCGAGAACTCGAAGCAGTGCGCCGGGCGCGCCACTCACCTGATGACGGGGTCGGGCGATCCGCCGGTGCTGCCGCACGACAGCTGCATGGGCTTGCCCTCGGTGGCGACGGGCCGCACGCCGGGGGTGACGACGGGCGCGTCGGGCGGCGTGAGCACGGTCAGGGCCACGACGTGCGAGTGCAGGTCCAGGCCCGAGCCGGGTGCCTTGACGCGGCACTCGAAGCGCCCGTTGTCGCGCTCGTACGACACGTTGCTGATGAGGAGGTCGTAGCGGCCCTGCTCCGGCCGGAAGTCCAGGCGGTAGTTGGTGTCGAGCGGGGCGTCGCCGATGGCCACGTTGTCGTGCTTGCGGGTGTTGACGCGCAGCCAGAAGTAGGTGGGGTTCTGCTGCGCCACTTGGGGGGCGAAGCGACACGACAGCGACACGTCCTCGCCCTCCCGCGTGTCCCGGACCTCGGGCGCCGCCGCCGTCGCGCCCGCCGAGCCCGCGGCCATGGCCACGCACAGCAGCGAGGCCGCCACCCCTGCAACACGCAAAAGAAAACACAAGGGACGTTATAAATTTGCCACAACCCGTCAAATCAACACACAGAGAGAGAGCGGAACGTGGGGCGCGCTGCACGCCGCGGCCCGCCGCCGACCCGCCGCCGGGCGCGACCAAAAAGAAGCGGCCACACTGTGAAAAACAGCGACGATCCGACAAGGGCGTTGTTTTATTTCATCACGTCCAGCGACTAAAAGACTTTTTTACGACTCGTTTTTTACTTTTTCCAGTGCCCCTCCCCGCCGAGCTCATTAACGGCATGCCGGGCTCGGCCTGCTCGGCCCGATGTGGCACCGCGTCCGCAGCGCCGCGTCTGCAGCGCTCCTCGTGGTCCGTCACCCCCTCTAGTTTCTCCTCTTTTTCTTCCCCCGTTTTCCCCCTCCCCGCCCCTTTGTTCGTCCGGCAGCCGAAGAGGCAGGAGTCGAGCTCCAATTTGTTTTTTGGTCAAGCGAGACTCCTGTTGTATTCTGATGGGACGCCGAGTGCCCCCGCCCCGCCGCGCCGCGCCAGGCTCCAGTCCAGCCGGCAGCGCAGTCCGGCAAAAAGCGCTCTTGATCCGGTCCGGTCCGCGGCTAGGCCGGCCAGCCGGTCCGCGCGGCACCGCGCTGCACCGCGGGGGCTGGGCGGGGCACTGCATGTCCAGCCCGCGGCGCGGCGGCGCAGCCTTGGCGGCGGCAGCGCGCAGATCTGCATTCGATCTAGAACGTATAGTACACTGGCGGGCCGCGCGCCGACACTGCGAAGCGTTTCCAGCCACAATTAGATTCGCGCTGTTCCTCCCCCCCCCCCCCCCCGCCTCCGGGAGGCTGCAAGGACCTCATGACCCCGCCGGGAGAAACGCGAAACGCATCGTGCGAGTGGCGCAGCCGGCAAAGCCAAACCGACCGCGGCGCGGCCCGGCTGGGCCTCCGCTGGCCGGCCAGACGGAGATAGCCTGCAGGGGTCATCAACCAGCGCCACGCCGAGCAGTGGCGGAGCTGGCGGGGCCTCTCGGGAGCCAACAGGCTGGCCCGGCGGTGGAAGCCAGCCCCTCCACGGACACTCCAAGCAGGCAGCAGCACCGCACCAGCCAGCGCTCACTTTTTGCTGTTTGTATGCAAATTATTTAAGATGACGCGCCGCCGCTGCCGCCGTCGTGCCGCCGAAGGCTTGGCGAAGAAAAGGCGAAGCGAGGGGGGGGGGGGGGGTCGTAAACAGGGGTTGGATGGGGCGGAGGCGGGGCCGGCCGGCCGACGCGTGCAAACGCTGAAAAAATGGACATCGCGCACAACGCGGCCGGGAACGACGGCCGCAGGCAACAGAGAGAGAGATAGAGACAGGTATAGAGATAGAGGAACGGAGAGGGAGAGAGAGAGGGAGAGGGAGAAAGGGAAGGAAAAAAGAGATGAAAAGCAAACGCAACAACGGCCGGCATCATCAGCATTGTGCGCGACGCCATTGGAACGGGGTAACGGTGACCAGCCTTCACTTTGACATTTCGGGCCCGCGGGGCGGGGCGGGGGCGCGCGGCGCGGCGGCCAAAATCCTTACTCATGCGACGCAGCCGCGGACACAGCCGGACGCAGTGATAAGCGGGGCCTAACTGCTCCGGCCGCTGCCTTCTGGTGCTGCCTTGTCAGCCTCGCCTCCATATCGCCTGCCGCCTAACGGGCCAGGGCGTGCAGGCCGCACGTACCCCAGATTAAGGTGAAGGCAATCGCTGCAGCGCTGCAGCCTAGCCTAGGGCCGCGCACTCGCCGCGCTCACAGTGCACGCACACACGTCCGCGCCGAACGTGCGCCGCGGCGGGCTGGGCCGGGCCTACGTGCACCGCGAGGGCGACGTACATGAGCGGCAGCGACGTGAAAAACGACATCGGCGATGATGATGGCGGCCAAGGCGTCGGGGTCAGTGGGTCTGGACGCGCCGCGCCGCCGCACAGTGGGCCAGAAGACCGGTGGAGGCGGCCAAAAGTCGAGACGCGTTTTGAGCTCCAGAGTCGCTAAGAGGGACACCAACCGAACGTGTGACCCCACCAATGGATTCCTCGTTCGGAGAGCAATCCATTGGTGGGGTCACACGTTCGGTTCAAGTCCCATTTAGCGACTCTGGAGCTCAAAACGCGTCTATAATTTTGGCCGCTCCGCCGCTCTTCTGGCCCACTGTGCGCCGTGCATCGGCCGGCTCGGCGCGTTGCTCGGTGCGCCGCCGCGACGCCCACGCGGCTAATGGCGTCTAAGGGCGGCCGGCCCGGCGGGCCGCTTAGCGACGCTTAGCGACGCTTAGCGCTCGGCGTCCCGATTTAAAGCGGACGCTCGGCGGACGAGACGACGCGCCGGCGACGCACAGCTCGGCGCGCATTGATTCGCGCTGGCCACGACGACGGCCATCAAGTCCACGACGCGGCCGGGAGAAAGTGCGCCCCGACGGTGCAGTGCCTCGCAGTGCCGCATCAGCCGGTCGCCCTAAACGCCTAACGGCGGCGCAGGCCGGCAGCGAGAGGCGGCCCACAAAGAGTGCCATTTCGTACGCACGATTAGGCGGTCGTGGTGTCGCATCGGGGCCACCGCGGCCACGGCCGGAACCAGGGCCGCGCCGCCGCGGACGACGGGGTGCCTACCTCGCCGGGTCGCGGGACTCAGACTCAACAGGCGACGCGGCCGCCGACGCTGGAGCCCACTGCAGCCAAAGCTGGAGCCAGCGCTGGAGCCATGCCAGAGCGACACCTCCCCAGCGCTCCGCCCCGCCGCTCCGCTCCCAACCGCTGCAAGTGTGCCAACTCTACGCCATGCAGGCCGATCGCGATGCGGTCGGATCAAGAAAAGCAGCTCAGGGCGGGGTGGGGCGGGGCGGGGCGGTCGCTACACTTTTCTTATTTTAGGCACGGCCCAACTCCGGGCCGGGCTCCGCGCAGAGCCTACATCGACGGCCAGCCGTTTGGCGCGTTGTTCGTCGTGCACGAGGCGTTCCGCGTTCCGGGAACACGGCCGTCTCGTGGAAGCGGAGCGTCAACAGCTGACGGCATCGGGGCGGGCAGGGCACGGCGCACGCGAGGACCCGAGAGGTTCAAGACGCCGTCGGTGTGAGGCCGCCAGGCGCAGGCAGGCAGACCCGCCGGGCAGCCATTACGAGCTCTCCGGCAGCTTCGTCTCCTCAATCCCGATCGCCTTCGGGAACGACGGAACGACAGCGAGGCACGAAGGAGACAAAGGAGAGGCCCCGAGCTCCCTGAGCCCCACCGACGTTGTTTTGTCCACTACTTTGTTATTATCATTTCTCCCTTCTCCTTCCCCGCTGCTCCGGCCGGACGGCTTCGGCTGGCTTCGGCCGGCTTCGGCCCCAGCCTCGGCTCGGACGCCCGCTGCCTTTTTATTCCTTTTACAAACAAGTCGAGCTGTCGGTAGTCGCGTCGACCCCGGACGAGGCAAGACTACCTAAACACTCACGCCAGGTTTTAAAACTTTTAGGCCCCTCCCGCCCCGTGCCCCTGCCCGTCCAGGACCACGACCGGACCTAGCCCGACCGGCTCGCGGGGCGCGGCGGGGCGCGGCGGGGAGGGGCGGTCAGCGAGCAGGTGCAGCCGGCTCTGCAGCTCGCGAACCGTTACCCGAGGCGGGGCCGGGCCTATGTCACACACGGCACTCGGCACGGCCGGCCATATGAACAAGACAATCCCATTTCATTTTCCAGCGAGTGTGAGTGTGCGTGTGTGCGAGTGAGTGCGTGCGCCAGCGCTGACACCCACTCGTCAGTTTGACGCCGAGGCTGCCACAGCCGTCTGATTCAGAACACTGCTTCGTCGCTCTGTCTCTCTCGCACCCGTACGGACCGCCCCATGAGTGCGAGAGAGACAGAGCGACGAAAGCAGTGCTCGGAATCAGACGGCAGGCTGTGCCACAGGCGGGTCGCTGCCGCCGCGGCGCCGCGGAGACTTGAACGCTGGTGGAGTGCGAGAGGGCCGCTGCCGCTGCGTTTTGGCGGTGCACTCGTTTTGGCGGTGCCTGTACCTCCGGCCTCCGCCACCCCCAGGGCGGGGCACGCCGCGTCCGATCCGACACGCCGAGCCAGACGGGGCCCATGTATATTTGAAAACACGCACTCACTCTGGCACGGCGCGACGGCCCTTCTTGGAGCGGGCTGCCGTCCGGACGGAGGCACGGCACGGCGAGGCCCTGCCCGCCGGCGGCCAGCGCGGCCAGCACGCACGGCGCATGCATGCCGGTGCAGCGGCGGCCATCTTGTCCGGGGGGAAGGGAAGGAGGCGAGGAGCTACCTGCGGCCGGCTCCGCCCACATGACTTGTTGGCGTCCAGGCGGACGGCCGGGCGGGCGGCCAGGCCGAGCTGGCAGCAGGCAGGCCTTCCCTCTGACGGGCGCGAGGCGCGGCCAGCCAGGGCAGCCAGCCAGGCGGACACCTGCATCCTACGATCCTGCCTGCAAGCGAGCCGGCCAGGCGGGCAGGCAGGCAGGCAGGCGAGGTAGGGCTGCCAACCGCCTCCAAGCCGTGCAGCGCTACCAACTGTTGCGTCCAGAGACCCGACTTCCCCGGCGCGTCGCGTCGCGCTGCCGCGCGGCGACCGGATGCGGAGACCGCGCCGCGCCACTGCTGTGCCACCGCGGCGACGCGGGACGCAAAATCGGCCGCCAGGCAGCCGATTCATCATCGCCGGCTCTCAAAGGGAGAAAAATGGCGGGCGTGGCGTGCCGCCGTGCCGCCGCGGTGTTTTTCTCTCGAGAGGTAAACGCGACAGACAAACGAACCCCAAGTGGGCATGACGTCGGCGGGATCCCGAAATGCAAGAGTCACGGCTAGCTAAATGGCAGACGTCGTCGTCGTGGCCGGGCGGCCCCGCGCCGGCCCGCCTTCTTCAGGCCCGCCGGCCCACCGGACGCGGCCAGGACGACGTCAAGGACGACGCCGTGCGGGACCACCGCGACGCACAATCACCCCCGCGAGAGGGGAAGGGGGGACGGACGGCGCCAGACACTACTTGACGATGCC